GACCTTTTCCCAGGTTTCCTGATAACTTACTAAGTCCGTTGTAAGCAGTAACGGTATTATCCATGCACGCTTCGTGGAACCAAAATTTGCTTCTATCATACTGCATGCCATATGATACGAAACGGCAACCGGGTCGTTTGCACGGATTCTGCACAACTGTGGTGAATTGTTCAATAGATATTAGCAATTTTGTATGACCGTAAAATAGAAATAGCACTTTCCAAACGGATAAAAAGGAGTGGTGCATAATGTTAGGATATACTGAAACTAGGCTTGACGTGAAAAACTGAAAAACCAAATAATAAGCCGCGGCAAAACCACAGTCATCTATTAACTGGGGAAATAATCAAAAATAAGAGTAATCTGACGAACTGCAAGCTCGGAACAGATCACTTGGATCAAAAATGGTACTTTTGTTGCATAAAGACAGCAAAAGTTTGAGAAATGCAAATCACGCTAGGACTAAACTTCCCAACCCTAAAACGAGCTCACAAACTCCATTTTTCGCCTCGTTCGTTTATATGTCCGTTTAAGCATGAAAGATATCCATTTCGGACACGTCCCTGACAAAGTTCATATTTTCTAGACAAATTTTTACATAAAAGCCATTTATCACAAATTAAATGACCAAAATCAATTATTTAACCTAATAAAGTTCAAATCTTAATCATTAACTTTACACCGACCTAGGTTTATGTTCTCAGTACATATTTAGTTTTAATAGTTTGACAACGTATATAGCGCCATATACAGGTCTGGTTTCTAAAGATGTCTGATGATCCGCAATTAGACCTTTTGAATCACAAGTTGCAACTTCAGCAGGTTCGTTTCAAGTACCTTATGTTTCTTTATGTTTAGGTCGAAGCAGCTCTCGAGCTAGATCCAGAAAACGGGGAACTTCTCCAGCTCAAACGAGATCTCGAGGAAGTCATCAAACTCTCACTTGAATTATTGGGCAGAACATCTGATACACCAGAAGTATCGTGGAATGTTGGCGATCAGTGCATGGCCATGTGCTCCCGTGATAAACTGTAGGTTTTCTTGAATTCTCGTGTTACTTAGTAGTTACTACCGAGCTACAATACTTGAATTTCTTGGAGATGTAAGCTGCGTCGTTAATTTCGATATGTACGATACAACGGATGTATGCCAGGTGTGTTCTTGCTACATTTTTATATCTTTTCTGTATTTGTCCACTTGGTAGGCTTACTAAGATAGCTTTTAAGTTTGTCTGAAGTAGGGAACTGATCTTTTGCCCAGCAACTGTAGCAGCTATATAATTATAAGCCTTTTATGGGACTTTAGTTTTTCATATCCCTTATGAAGAATCTTAATAAAACTTGTCTACGTGATTAGGTCTTCGTTTTAGCTAGAAAATACCTATTTAAAGATTGGTTTGTCCTAACTGTCTTACCATTTGCGGCTGCCGTTAAATTTTTGTATACATTCAAGCACGAGACGTATGGTACTTTGAAGCCGTCCGCTTGATAATTGGGATGACAGCAATCAACGGTTCGTGGGAAAATTAATCGTGAGTGAATATTTTGGTTTAAACAAACCTGAGATGTCTGTTTATATACAATACTTGATCTCTATACATCACGTTCATCGCAAGCATGTTTCTTTTGCAGCTGTGTCACTTAAAGCCGGTCACGACAGTTACTCCTATTGTGAAAAAGAAAAAGTAAGTTCCTACACTTTTACAATTGAATCTGCAGACATGACACGAAATCTCGTGCTATAGAAAAGAAGAAGATTAAAAAACAACGTCTTCTTCAAAGAGAAGTAGAGATTGAGTCGTTTGCGAAAAGGAGAAAAACCGTTGGCTTAATTTCAGCAAGAAAATGATCAAAACTGGAAAGACAAAGAAGAGTATCTTCGCCTCTCCTGAAGCCCTGGACGGTCGTGTGGGTGTTGGGACGTGTGGTATAGGTGGCAAGCCAATGACCAAGTTTACCGTGTTAAATAACAGCAGCAAAAAACAGTAAATATTTCTCTTGCTTTGTACATATTGTAAATATTACTTTAAAACTTCTCTGGTCTATTAAATAGTGCCCAGTTAAATAGTCTTGCTTACAATTTATACACTAGCTTCATCGTATTGACTAGGTTGAGTTAGTCTGCGTCAGTATGTAGCATAGATAAGTGACAAACAAACAGAAGTAGTGGTTGGCGAATCGATTTTGATGATTCCGCTTTGGGTTATGCATGGCTATGTACTTGAATCAGTCGCATTGTATGAGGGTTAATAACACTACTCAGTCTTCTAAAGTAATTTCAAGCTCAATAACATATTCTCGCCACCCTGTGAGTAGTAAGGATTTCCAAAGTAGCATCTAGTTAAGTCGCAAATGGAATTGGATGTACTTAGTGACTTAAGATACGTAGTGATCGAAATGTAATTACCTGTTCTGTATACATTTATTCCCATAACTCAGATGTACTTCTGAATTTGATATTCTACATGATTTTGTCAGCGTAGGATCGAATATAACTTAAATGTGCTGCTCTACTCTCGTGATATCTGGTTTTGAGCCATCGCGTGAATTATGAACTAAGTGTAGTGTTTGAGTAATAAAGTACTTATAATAAGGTAATGCTGAGAGAAAATCATTCACCTTTAGCGAACGTTAATCGGCTGAGACGTGGTACTCACTAATTGAATGTTGCGAAAGAAGTGGTTATATCTAAACTACCACTCGTTTAGCCGATTAGTAAACAAGTGAGCAAAGGATAACCGTCCTGATCCTAAGAGTATCAGTGGTACAATATTACTATATCACGTTTGTACTCAGATGTGTGCGTTATTGGAGCTCCCGAGATTAGTAAATTTCCTTTGTAATTCACAATGCGGTCGAATAGAAAGCTACACTGCTTGGGACTGTAAGGGGTTCATTGCGTGCTATGTGGGCACTTCGTGTTGATGAAAATAGTTAAACAGCACTCAGAAACAAGTCATTCACACAATGTTGGATGGAGCAGACCACCCGTAAGCTGCGTGGTGCTAGACCTAATGGAGTATATGTGCTCCTTAAGGTTTGGCCTACTTAACTGATCGCCAAATCGCGTGGAGTGCAGCACATTACACCCCAACACCACATGATTAATCTGATCATGTTCTTTTGAATCCTATACTACTTCAGGCTGAAAGCTCTGTGTTAAGGTCACTGCTAGACAAAATATATTTTATTGAATGCATAAGCGAAATGAGATAGCACACCTCGAGCAACACATTATTCAGTGCGGACGATTTATGGTACTAGCCGTAATTCAACTTCGCGCGTTGACTGGGAGAGGCAAACCATCTATGCAATTATTCGATTCTGAATGATATTAGCTTGTGAAATCTTATCAAGGGGTTTCCGGGATTTAAAAACCAGAGTTGATTAGGGTCACCACTGACCTCGTTCTTTAAAAGCAACTGTATTTGGAAAAGTTGGATGGTAATCCGGAGCTTTAGAGCACATACACGAACAATCCAGGTACTTTCCTAAGTGTTTGGATAATAAACGGGGATTAATCATGCTAAGAGCGCTGGTAAGTTTTGGAGCCCTTCGGTATCGATGTGTTTAAATAAGGAAACATGGGCACTGAAAGATGGCGTTTTTGTACGTTATGACTAGTTCGTCGTCCTGCAGTAGCTTGATTGGGTAGTCGGTAGCAAAGAATTATCTGAGTCCAGTTTAATCTATCTTCATTTCGTTATTAATCGGAATATTCTCAGTGTCCGTTGGACCGCTCTCTGAACACGATATTCAATTGAATTAAACAAGATTACATAAACTTTTCGTAAGGTCCAAAGCTACTCCCAAGACGTTAAAGTTATGTAGGTTGAAGGGATCGCTAATAAATATTCAAACGACTGTATACTAACTGGATAAGATGACCATACAATTCCGTTTATCAGGAGTGGTACCGCTAGTTTTCACACTAAAGATGCTTCGAGAGGTGTATACTTCGTTACATCAGAATAACACCAGCGAGAACGATAGGATACTAGTGTTTCAAAATGTGGTAGTATGAAGTCTTCTCGTCTGTATCACAAAGTGAATTCATTGTCATTTCGACTACAATCACTTCAAACTGTACAGACTAACTTTATAAAAGTGGTAGCTTGTCGAATGGCATTTCTAGTTTTTTCCGAACTAAGAAAAATCATTAGCATGGTAAGTCAGAAAATACTGTAACACGGATTCCCGACATGGTTGATGTCTTTGATAAGTCCATTACCTGATTCATCAAGTGTAGCGAACTACATCTATCATGCTATTGTTTGTGTATGCTATGTCCAATCTTTATTTCTCCAAGCAGACAGACTACGTTACGGAATATGCTGTTCTACGGTGAAACTCAGTAGACTGCTGCCTATACTTTTCATTTAAATTTTCGAACTAGGCTTTTTCAGCTCCCTTAGGTAGACAATTCGATCGAATGATTTCGTTTAAGTATCAGATTTAAGTTATTTGGTTATTGTTTCTGTAGAAAAATATTCTTGGTTCAGTGAGAGACGAATAATGAGTGACTTATGGAATCAGGAAAAGTCTAGATGATTAGAACACTAAAGCGCACCACAATATAAGAAGTCAACAATAGTTTATATGGTGTAGATAACTATATTTAATGTCCTGGGAGCTAAAGATAGTACAATTTTCCTATTTAAAGTATCTGTCAATCTATAAACTACTCGAATCTTTGAATACCTTATTAATGTACTGTCATTTATGCCACCTCAACAGCTGGCCTAACACTTACATTAAATTCACAGAAATCATGGAGAAATAAGGTGTTGCGTTACATTTTCACATCCTACATTGTTCGAGTTAATCAAATTCACGATTTCAGATACCACAGGACGATATTTGAATTATTTATATAAGTGCTATGCATATACAATGAACTGATTTACTAGAAATCATATCATTTTGCAACCAAATGACAAATAACAGAGCATGAAAGTTAGGAATATACATTGAATAATATGATTACAAATGAATATATTTTCAACTTTCAGAAGGGATCGTTGCGATTGCATACAAGTTCACGCTTTCCTTTTTCACACTAAAAACAAAAATCAAACAATTTATCTGCTACTAAGACGATAATAAAATTAATAACTCAACATTCTAAACTCTCATATATCGAATATTAGCTTCAAGATTTGAATATCATTACACCGATTTCCGTTTGTACATCTAAGTAGTATCTCTATGGTTATTGAGTTAGCGATGATATCCACAAATATTAGAATGTTTCGTTGAATAAGTCATACAAATTATATCCCAGTGTCTGTTTTACTGAGGACTGGTTTTGCTAATAGGATTGAGTTAAAGAGTGGGATTACATAGTTTATGATATATCCTAGAATGAGTCTTCAGCTAAAAATGCTGGTTAGTCACCACTCGTTTACTGGTTATCCGAAGTCCATACAATTTACTAAATTTAGAAGTTACCAGACATCACTTAGAATTAAAGTTTGTGACCACGATATTTATCTGCATGAGTAATTGCAAATAACAGCCAATTTCTTGGATTCTATCTTTCATTGGTTACTTTGCCATCAGTCAGCTACAACATAGGACTAGACACATATGTGAGTCGGTACAAGTTGTTACACCACATTAGCACAACAATATGAACACAAAATTCATAGTAGTTACTTTAATGGTAGTAATATATAAAAAAGATTGAATGTAAGGATATATTACAGGGAGAAAGCAACGGTCGAGACTTTGCTATATATCTATCTTTCTACGAACTAACTCCTTCCTGTGCTATATTCTTATATGCAATCTTTCTTTTGTATATTACCATAATTGAATTAACTACTTTTATGAATCCGGTGTTCATCTTGTTGTGCTAATGAGGTATAGCAAATTGGACCGATGCACATATGTGCCTGATCCTATATCGTAGCTGAGTGAGCATGAAATATAAACCTGAAGATTTCTATCGACCGTCTTCAACTATCTCATAACACATTGCGTTACAGTGTTTACTAATATTAACAATAGTAGGGCAGCTTATTTATCAAGTGCAGATTCATGAACTTGCCATTGGGCTGCAGTTTAGATGAGGAGTCGAGCGATACTACGAGGTGTTTAGACCAAAGCAAGTGAACAAGATTTCCAACTTGAGACCTACCGGTTTGAAGATGATTCATTTAACCACTAAGATATAGTCTTGTCGCAATGTCCAGACATTTAGATTATTGAATATATCGCCAGCTCGATTCAAAGTACTCGACCGACATGATGGACTAAAAGAGCATGGTACTGATTAACTTCCACTAAATAACTAGAGTACATAGACATACATCTGACTTTGATATGAGATTTACTTAGGTTTTTCCATTTGCATAAAATTATAACGTGTCTCAAAGGCTTGTAAATAACCTTAATATGTTACTCCGTCTGGAATACCTCAAGGGCTACTGTCGATCTCACGCCCGAGTAAAGAGGAAAAGTTTGGTGTAGGGTTAGAAAACTCAACTCCTAAAAAAGAACCCCGGTACAGAACCACTCACCGGAGAAAAACAAATACTTTCTTGTGAGAAAAGAACAATCTTCATATAGAAGAGATGTGAAAACATTTAGTGACAAAAATAGACTCAAGTAAGATTTCAATGATTGAGCATAATGTTGATAAATCTACTGTTTTTAAGCTCATAAACATGGCCCCCGAATGCCCTGGTACGGCCGAGAGTGGGGAGAGTCCGCTCTCCCTCTCGAAATACTCTCACACGGCCGCGCGTATACAGCCTCTGCCAGGGAAGTCCTACTCATTGCCTTCTCGTGGCGGGGGTGTTGTTTACGAAAATGAGAGGACGAAAAGCGAATGTCCGGCGCTTTAACCGGATCACAAACAAATGGTGCACATGGGCTCCAGTATCCTGCGGGAACAAATGTCGTATGAATCAATCGTTGGTCACCGGCTACCATGGGATTGCATCTCCTTACGATGCTCCACTGCCTTGGGAGTTAGTCCTTTAGGTCAAAGGCTCGGGGTGTGGCCCCCTAAGATAACCACCTGCTTCGGTTTGGGCACCCGGGCAGTATCACAGCCCACACACAAATGATGAACTCTCTATGTCTATGGAAATTACTTTTCTCGCTTCGAAAAACAATCAATTGATTCAAATTATTATCATTACAATTATTGTCATTATTAATACTATTATTATTATTACTATTATTATTATTATTATTATTATTATTATTATTATTATTATTTTCCACATTATTCACCCTCTTTTATACTTATACAGCGGCTCGTCTTTGGTGGAAATTCGACTCTATCTAAACGTTCTCGAGTCACTGTCCGGTTGAAAATTGTATGTTACCACCGAATACGAGGACTGAAGCAGTTTTTCTGAAACCACGTGCACCATTCAAACTGGCTGCCTTCAACGTTCGCACATTTATGCAGGTCGGACAACAGATAGGGCTGGCTATGTCTTTGGAAAGTCTCAATATTGATGTTTGTTGTCTATTCGAGACCCGTATTCAAGACTCTGGTGAAGTACTACAAACTCGATCTCCATCTGTCGCTTCGAAAAGCTTGTTTTACGTGCGCTCATCCGGGGACCTTGTGGCATCTTCGTCTGGTCTTGCTGGCGTTGGTGTCGCACTGAGCGCTAGAGCTGAAGCAGCACTAGTCGATTGGATCCCCATTAACAGTCGGTTATGTGCTGTTAGATTAGAAAGTTCCATCAAAGTGAGAAGAAATCGGCGTGAGAAACGATGTCTTTTCGTCATCTCCGCCTATGCCCCGACAGATTGCAGTCCGGATGCAATCAAGGATGAGTTTTACCACCAGTTATCTGTTCTTCTCCAGAAAGTGCGTTCGACAGATATTGTAGTACTAGCCGGAGACCTGAATGCGCAGGTCGGGCGTCTAGGCACAGAAGAGAGTCGTTCAGGTGGCCGATGGGGACTCGTTGGTCGCAGGTCAGATAACGGGGACCGTCTACTGCAACTTTGCACAGACCACAACCTGTTTCTGGCTAGCACTAACTTTCGGCACAGTCATCGCCAATGTGTCACCTGGCGTCCTCCCTCTGCATCTCAAGCCTGGACTCAGATTGATCACATCGCGATCAGCTACCGCTGGTGGGGGTGTGAGTGGTGAGATCAATGCACGAATAGTGAAAGCCAGAGCGGCTTATGCCAATCCGGGCCATCTTTGGCGCCTTCGTGATGTTAGTCTGGCTGCAAAAGGTCGGATCTACAACGCGTCGGTGAGAGCAGTTTTGCTCTATGCTTGTGAAACCTGGTCTCTCCGAGTTGAGGAAGTTAGACGACTCTCTGTGTTCGATCATCGCTGTCTCCGAAGGATTGCTGACATCCAGTGGCAACACCATGTCAGTAATGCAGAGGTTCGGCATCGTGTGTTCGGGTGCAGAGATGATAATTCAATTGGTGTCACCATCTTGAAACACCGACTTCGGTGGATTGGACATGTTCTACGAATGTCGTCCCAGAGAATTCCACGTCGTGCATTATTTGCCGACTCTGGGACTGGTTGGAAGAAGCGGAGAGGTGGTCAGTGCATGACATGGTGTCGTGGTATGAAAGAAAGCTGCAAAGAACTGGCTTCTGTCGGTCCTTCACGACTCCCTCGTTGGGGTCTGAAAGATGGTGCTACACAGTGGCTAGAGACGTTATCAGATATGGCTCAGAATAGAAGCCAGTGGCGATCCTGCTGTAACCTTCTTTTACTTTCTTAATAAAAAGTGGTTGTATCTTCCTTAACTGAAAGATTTCTTCTGATTGTACCTTTCCGTTCCCTCGTTACTACCACACTACCTTACACCAATCTCTTCGTTATTGTTCTCTTTTTTTGCGCTCCTTAGCTTTTTTTTCTATTTCTCTTCGAATTCTCATTGTTTTGTGTGGCGCATATATATTGGCGCTCTCTTGTACCAATATTCATGTGTTCAAATAAAATAATAAAATCATAAACTTGATGTAGTTATTCCAGATAAAAGCTTATAAATTCGACTACGTATCTTTATTAAAACTTGATATTTAATGATCTCAAAAGCCGAATGGCTAGACTTACGAGCATTCATCTTTTATCAGATTTACTATATCCATGATAGGCTGATTGGATGATTTCTCGGCTAAAGCATTATGAATATTTTCCAGTATACATAGAAACAACTTTCTTTGTTCTTCAGAACTGCAAAAAGTAAGCAATTTAAAGAAAGAAACGATGCATATGAGATACTATGCATGAAAACAAAAAATAGAGAAAATGTATACAACTATTGGCTTGGAGTTAACAGTCATTCGATTACCAGTGAACTGATTGATTAATAATTAAAGCACTCAGTTTAAGAACTAAATGTTCAAACTCCGTCTCAAGTACTATAGTTCAAGTATTCAAACAACAGTTATATTATCATTCACACAAATAATGTAAATGAACTTGTACTTAGTTCGATTGGATTTACATTTTACCGTCTGCTATGCTACAAAACTAGTACACAGATGGACTGATTATAATTGCTTTTGCATTAAACAGGTGCGTAAAACACTAATTAAAAATTGTCGATTCTGTTTGTTAATTAACTGTTTTAAAACTTGATTCCAGTAATTCTGAAACGATAATGACGAGAAACGTATACAATGTTGTGCAGCTAGATAGAAGTAATTTCATGGATTCGATTTTACGCCACAATTTTTATTTTGGATCTGTTGATGCTAACAGAATCCCGTAACTAAACTAGAAGAATAAGAGGTTTGAAATAGCACAACTTAGTGGTTACACTGAAAGAATGTTCCAATCATCAGTCTTCTGATCCTGTCCATTAAACAGAACTGTTGCAAATCGATTTAAGCAATAATAATTACAATTTGTAAAATATATGGTTGCAAGTAGATTTCTTTTAAATCATAAATGATGTTTTCTTTTGTAAATTGACACTAGTCAACAGTACATCAAATTCTATAAATATCCAATATTGATTTCAATTTGGTCACATCTTATTTATTTTAGAATGGATTACAGACATGATATTCATAAAAACAGTAATAATAATAATGACGACAAAAATAGTTCACAAGTGAATATTCATTTTTCTAAATTATAAGGTGAAAATAACATTTATTGATTATTTTCATCATAACAAACCAATGCATACCATTTAATTAAAGGGGTAAATGTAAAATATGAATTTTATAGAGATAATAAATTATAAGAATTATATATATATATAAACACATATTCTAGAATGCTTAGATTATTAACAACTTTAAGGAGTTACTTTACTAATGGAGAGTAAAAATTACTTTGTCTCATATAATAGAGAAACACAAAAGTTCACTCATTAATAATATTAATAATACTAAAAGCCATAAGTCAATAAAGCAAGTCTTCATTTCTTGGAAAAAAAGATATCATACCGTACAAAACAAAAAATACAACAGAACCTTACAAGAATATGCAAGGGTTAATATGTTGCATAAACGCTAAGCTGAAAACCTATATGACATGTTCAGTTAAATGATATGTGACTGGTCAAGGATTGAAGAGATATATAATTGTACTATACATACATACAAATTGCATCACGAGGCAAACCTTAACTTGGAATCCTGAAGGGAAGTGGAAAAGAACACATCACGTCCGGAAATAGAATCAGATATAAAAAGGATGAATTACAACTGGTAAGGATTGCCCAGGACAGGGCTGGATGGAGAATGCTGGCGAGCGGCTTATGCTCCTTCACGAGGAGTAACAGGAGTAAGTATACATTTCATACTGCAAAATCATTTTTCTCTTTCTGCTGATTTCACTGCTATCTAACCTGTAATCTCGATGTTATCGGTATAGGATTATCAGTCGGACGGTTTAATTTGTGTGACTGTATTATGTGGCCGAAAGACATTCACTAGTATATATATGACTGAGACAGCATTAATTTTACGATGTCACTGAATGGAAAGTCAAACAAACAATATAGATTGCACATATAGACCCCTCAAACATCTTCCGCCCAAAGATCCTCAGAATTCACAAACTTCACACTGAGTTGTACACCTCACGTTTTATAACTGGAATATCAGAGCCAAGTGTAGTCTAGATTAATGCAAACAAATAGTTCTCGCTTTCCAAATACCGATAAATGGTTTCGCGCAACTCGATGTTATCAAAAAGTAACTCAGCTTTGTCCGAAAATCGACATACCGTACTGTGGGTAACAGAACTAAATCAACACCATCATGTGGTATTTGATATCAGTAGCAAAAGTAAAGAGGAGAACGCTGGAGTCGCTACATTCTATCTAATCTCATTGCTAGTTTGCAAACATAGATAGAAGTAAGCATATGTAGACTTGCTTTCTAAATTTTCGAGAAGAAATTTCAATATGTTAGTGAAATTTTTGAGTAGTTACTCTTATCTGTCAGACAACTTCAAAATAGTTTTTCCTCACGAAGTGAAGATGGTTGTAAAATCAAGAAGAACCTATAACATGTACCCAGAGTGTCAGGACATGATAAGTCTATTAAACATTTGAATGATATTCAAGACGATTCCTGACTCATTTTTATTTATCTCGTATAATTTCGCAATATGATGACAACCAATATATTAGATATGAGTGCTGGAAGCGTTGTACCTCGATGTTCATCACATACAGTATAATGATTCATTATAAAGTATGAGGACCTTTCGGAAAAGAAACTTTTATTTTGGACGATATCATTTTCTGAAGCTGTACAATCGTATTTATAGGTATTTTTACATGTAGCAGTCTACAGTACAATAATTCGCTTCGAGAATGTCTATGGTAGACACCCAATCATTGAGTGATGCAATAAACTTTGTTCGTTATAACCCTTTTGAGCGTCTAAATTTTCTACCTGAATAGAATTTTATATCTGTCTACGAGAAACGAGAGATAGATAAAATCTATGTTATTACGGATTTCAACTCTTGATTAATTACAATATTGTACTGATAAAAGTACTTTGAAACGATGGCCTTCAAGTGACCATATCGGACGATTACTTATGACATTAGAGAAAACGTTTTAGGCATGTGAAGTAAAATAGACAAAAAAAATGACGACCTTCAATCGATAACACGCTGTAAATTCTAATGAACTTTTAACTGTGATGCTATTTAGAAAAATAAAACCATGAAGAAACACACCAATTATAATCAGACCAAATATGTCGTGATCCTATGATGAGCTCAAGTTACCAAGGTTTTCGTGGTTCACAGGTTAAGCGTTCGCTCGCGATGCCAAAATGGCTGGGTTCGATTCCCACGTACGTGGATGGGAAGTCCTGAGTTCCATACTGGCACGAATCAGCCGTTCGGTGCTTCCAGGTATTCAGTGGAGGTCTAGCTAGGGTCAATTCGTGATTTCAACTGACAAAATGACTATGCTATCATCTGATGAGTTATTGTCACCCTTAGTTTGGTAATTCTGACTTGTACTAAGGTCATCACATCTCAGTATATGAACAGAGTGTTCCATTACAATTTCTACTTCGCTGCATATCACAAAATATCCTGCATAACCGGATTTCATGAAGGCGGAAATTTGGAGGGGGGGTTGTGTGTCAACGGCCATTCTATCGAGTTCGGATTAGTTCCTATTTATATTAGGAGAATTTAAATTGTTTGTAATTAGAAGTTGCCATAGGCTCAGTAATAAACGTGATATTCAAAAATTTCAATAAAAATAACTATTTCAAATTAATTATCTTTTTTCTAAACTAAATATCATAAAACATGTCAACCAAAAATAACATAAAAATTATTTAAAAATTCAATCAAGAAGATTCACCTGATTGAAGCTGTTGCATGACGTGAAAGCCAAAGTAAGATTGCATGAAATCTTATAAGTGCGTGTACAATTCGACTGTGTTTTGTAGCGTTTACAAGTAATCGTAAAACTGAGAACTGTAAACAATTATAAAAAAACGTCAATAGGGTTAAAATACAAAATGAATCTAAGAGATTGATTGAAAACGCGACTTTCTGCAATGTACGTAATTAAGTTTAACAATACCATAAGAAATTTGAACATGATGATCAGTGGCATTATCACAGCTTCAAAATACAGAATCAATGGATAAGACTCTGCACATAAAAAACACTCACCATTTACACATAACAACAGATTCTTTTTAACTGAATTCCTGTGATGATACTAACTTGGTCAGCGAAAGCTAGAATTTGATATCAGCCGGTTGTATAGCACTCATATGCGCACATTTAGTCTTCACAATACCCTTAGTTATTAGATAGTTTATATTTATTAACAGGATGAAAAGACAAGAATCCATCGATAATTCTCTTACATAAAATAAAAAGAACTATATTGAAAAGAATTATATGAGTTTAATTAAAACTGTCTTTTCCATCTCATCGAGTTTTGTATGCTTTAATTATAAAAGCCTGTAAGATGACCTCACACACTCACATAATTTTCATTCGAGACCTACCTATAAAGTAGTTAACATAACTAGATTTGTAGGTAGTATTCATCATAAGTTTATCTCATTCAGGGTATCACAAAACGCCTTCAAATATCTAGATTTAATGTTTGAAACAATAGATATATGACAAAATGGAGAAGTCATTCTCCTACTTGAGAACTCTACACAAAAATCACAACCAATAATTAATAACATTACCTTGAAACTCATATCAGCTGAAGGTAATGAATAAGCACACAAAATGTGCTTGAATACTAAAGAATTTTCCATCACTAAATAGTCTGCTGGATCACCTAAACTATCAACACACAATCGAACAATCCATTGACGTTCAATGGTGAACTATTAATTTTGAAAGAAAAATAGGGGAAAATGAAGACAACACATAGGATAATCAACTACGTTTTTACGCAACGAGAAAAATATTTTAAAAATATTTATGAAATACTAAATTTAAAAAAGGATTGTGTTGAAATTTGCTTAGATAATAGAAAAACAGAAAATAAGAGAAATTATTTGTGCAAAAGTAACGTGGATATTTTACAACTTTTAAGCGGAGAAGTTAACAATATACAGTGTTATGAAGAACACAGATGGGGACAACCAATTTATCAAATAATACAAAACTAAAGTTTTTTCGTCGAATGTGAAAACCATACGTTTAATACTTCATTAGCAAATCATTCATCAAACTTAATCGTTCCTTCATTCCCATAACAATTACTCGTTGTTTCCGTTCATTTGGATTCAGTCTTCCCAACCTCCTACCGGGCATTCCGCTTCTGATAGGTGTTACACACTACTTATGTCGATATAAGTAGCATACACCACAATAGTGTGAAAATTTTCCAAGCATCAATCATCATCCATCAACAGTATTACAGGCAATAAAAGACTGTATTAATTAATGTCTAAGTTTTTAGGAAAAACTTAATTACATTTAATTAATGGTTTAAATCACGTACTGATCTTAGTAAGGCCAACACTGAAAACCTGGAAGCATTGGATAAGCTTTTCGAACTAGTAAAGAACACGCCAGCAGTGAAAATCCACGAATCAAACTTAAGATATTTGGTCCTGCATGTGGACGCATGACTTCTAGACCTTTAGCCCCAGGACCCAATGACGTGCAAGTCTAACCCCCATCCAGTGCCTGTAGTGGATAAATGTATGATACTCAACATGGTTTGACTACACTGGTCATGGATTATCACTAGTACTTCAGAAGTTCATGATCTTAATCAAAAATTTAATAATCTCCATAACCCTATACTGATCAGTGAATATTAGTTTGTGATATATTAACGATACTGTATGTATGTATAATTCAAAATTCATATCATTCAGACAACTTACCTATTAAAAACTGAACTGATTTCCTTTAAAATATATTCAATTAATCTTAGTTTAAACAATTAGATTATACCAATAACACTTTTTTTTTAAAAACCATTTAGTACGTGATCAATCAAATAAAACCGGATTGAATAATTTAACAGTAAGACATTGAACTAAAAGAGTATTAATCCTGAATATTTTGTTTTTCATGACGCCCATTTTCTTGTCGAATCTTTACTACTTTTCGGTACTATGATTTTTTCACTGATCGGTCAAAAATCATTGGAATGACAAACAATGTTGTGTTGTTTTTATCTACTTGAACAACTAGGTAAAAATCAAAACAAATATATTAATGAGAAATCAATCACTACAGAAAAGTTATATACCTGAATTAAAAGCAATGAATAGCTCTATTTCACAACTTCACAAGCCAATAACACAATCAATGGCATTTGTTATTAATACCGGTCCCCTGTCCCCCTCCCAAATAAAGACATATAATCCAGAGCGGTATATTACTTACCTTATTATTTGTTGAAAAGAATAATCTTAAAAATTCCGGTACATATCTTAAATCTATGGCAGGTTTTGCCAGTAAACAATTCCAAATAGGCTGAAACATATGATTTTCTATGTAAAGGAAAAGAATACAGAAATAACAATATGAAAATAAAATAAATCTCATCCATAAGAAATGTTTGTTTTGAATGTCTTTAATATAAACTAAGAAGGTGATTGATCACTGGATTAAAAGAAAAAACTCTGAATCCAATACTTTACTCGATTAATAATAGCCAGCTGCTGAGCATACATGGCATATGTGAAATTAAAATTTCCTAAAACACTTTATACACAATAAATGGAGTGCAGTACAATTTTTCTTTGGTAATTTCCAAATGACTTTCCTTACTACTTATGAGTAGTTTTATTGAGAAAGAATCACTGTAATTTGTGTAGACTTATATTCATAGAAAAACGGCTTATCAAACAATTTTTGTTTTGAAAGAAAAAATTACGCTAAATCAGTAAGCAATTACAAGGTTTATTTATGTAAACAAGTATTTATCTGTAAGGCTTTGAATGGAAATGAAATGGGGATACGAATCGACAAATTAACTGATAGAAGTCAAGTGTGAACGAGCATGGACACCTTAATTCACATAAATACTTACATTAATCTTTGTAATTTGAACACATTAAATCACACTTATACATAATCAGAAATAATTTGAATAGTGGAATTATTAACATTCTATATAAAAAATGTGTTGCATCACACTTTTTTCAAGTGACAATTTTCAATACTATATGTAAATATGACTTTAAATTACGTGAACAAATTTTGTTATGTTACAATGAGGACATTTGAAAAATGCTATTAATTATGTTATTTACTTTTAGTGTTCTATGAAAAAAAGAATTCTGTTACGTTTTATACATAGTGAAATTAAAGAATATTACATTAACTAAAAATGGCATTATTGGCATAAATGGACGTAAATTAATTATAAAGCATATATTGAAAATTGGTCGAAAAAAGTGGAAAAAGCTATTGTAGACTGATATCTCTAAGAGCAGACTCTCATTAGAAATCGAAATTCCTATAATAGGATAATGAACGGTACGACCGTCAAGATATTTTCATTTGGTTACTTCTCACGACCCCCAAACGTCCTGGTATGGTTGAGGGACTAGACGCTTACTGTTTGATATATGTCAACGGTAGGGGATTGATCTTTTAATACTTAGCTGTCTTATAAATATCAAACATCAAAAACAAAACACCTTGCAATATTATAACACACATAGTAAAGTGTTAGCCTACCTGGTTGACTGAGTATTTTTAAAACTCTGATAAAGAAATTTGCATGAATTTTTGTTAAACGTCCACCTGAATCGATGGATATATGGAATGATTTAGCTTTACGACTTCCACCACCGAGAACAGACCCACCACCATGTGATAAACTATTGCGTAATGTATCAAGAACAAAGGCAATCTAGAAATAATAAGAATAATAAAGATTACCAAGATTCATTGCGAAAGTTCTTGTTTAACACGTAATACTTATTAGGATTATTGGTAGGAAAAGCTAAAAAATAGTTGTTAACTAGTCAGAAATTTTGGTAAATTACAACTGAAATAAAACCAATAGGAGAAAACATTATTTTAATGCATATTTTTGGGGAGACACTTTATACAAAAACTCCTATAACAAGTAAACATCCGTGTAGTTGGCTTCGAGTTGCACTTGGTGTGACAACCAGTGATACAGGTGGACAGGTGGTTCAAAACTACGACTTAACAGCTGAAAATCGAATACCTTATCCACTTACTGACTACTGCACTAGTAAACTTTAACATAGTAAAATGTGATATCAATCATACGTAAGATTCTATTCATTTAAAAATTGAGACATTAAAATAAACAAATTCTAGTGTTAGTCTTTTCTGAAAATTGATCGCTTGTAGATATCACCAATATGTAAATATGTTTCTTCAAAAAAGGTGTGCTGAATATAATTGCGATTATGTACCTAAAAAGAAAAAACATTCCCAACATGTTTCCTAAAAAAAACTATTGGTTCTTAAATCATATAGTCTGTCGACCTACCAAAATCGGTGAACTTTTTATCACCTAATTATTCGGGGAATCCGTATTTGATGTGAGGTTCATATACCTAAATTACGCCTGTTACATCTCGTGGAAGAGTATAGCCCGCCAACCAGCATTCTCCATTCAACTCTGTTCTGAACAATCCTTTCCAGTTCCTGCTCATTTTTTATGTTTGCTTCCCGTTACTCCATGTAGTGTGTTCTTCACCCGTCCTCTTTTCCGTTTCCCTTAAGGACTCCAAGTTAGCGTTTGACTCGTGATGCAGTTTGGTTATTTCCGCAACGTATTTCCTATCCACTTCCATCGTCTTTTCCTAATTTCCTCCTCAGTTGGAAGCTTGTTTGTTCTTTTCTACAGTAGGCTGTCGCTAATGGTGTTCGATCAAAGGGTATTGAGTATTTTGTGTAGATAACTGTACCTTTTGATTATAGTTGTGGTAATTCTCGAAGTTCCATCTCCGTAAAGTAGAACTGTTTTGACATTTATTATATCAATACCAAAATTGGACTTGATTGTTTCAAATAAACTGAGCACCACGTACAGAGTTAATAATAAATAAATTTTTGTTATATCCTATTGAGTAGGAAAATTGTATTTTTGACGTTTCGTAATTTAACGTAAGCCAATTCTTCAGAGCCAACCAATAACCGGAATTAACACAACTTCAAATAGTACTATTGCACAATTTAATGTTTTGAAGATTATCACTTTGATATTGGTTGACATTTATTTTGAGTTCCATATGGTCTTTAACTGTAGGAATACCGCCCTTGTTTTGAAAATCCTCGCCTTTAAATCCTCTTTATTTGTCGAGGATGTTGACCAGGTACGTGAAAGTTTCCACCTGTTCCAGAGTTTCCCCACCAAAAGTGATTGGGTTGATGTTCTCCGTGTTGTATTTGACGATCTTGCTTTTTCCACTGTGTTTATTGAGGCCTACTTATGCAGGGGCTGCTGTTACTCTAGTCGTCTTCACCTGCGTTTCTTGATGTGTATGGGATAGAAGGGCCAGGTCGTCTGCGAAGTACAAATCGTCTAGTTGCATCTAACCTGTCCATTTTATTCTGTGCTTCCTGTCAGATGTCGAGGTATTCACAAGCCAGACAAACAACAGAACAAAGAGAAAGTGGGAGAGTAGGCAGTCTTATTTGACACTGGTTTTCAATTGGAATGTATTTGCCAGCTGTACTCCACGCACCAATTTGCACAATAGTCGGTCGTATGAAATCTGCATGACGTTGACGATTTTCTCAGGTACACGGTAGTGTCGAAGTAGGTTCCATAATGTTCTCTTATCCACACTGTCAAATGCTCTCTCATAATTAAGGGAGTTGATGTATAGTGACAAATTCTATCCAATCGATTGTTCAACAATGATTGCCTTCTTTGTCTTTGACTGGTCTCTTTGGTTTACATTTCCATACCAGTTTCTTCGTCGCGTCATATAGTTGTTTCATATTTCCTTCACTTGCAGCTTTACCGCTGGCATTAAGTCTTCAACGTATTTCTGCTCATAGGTTCTGATGCTCCACTTTAATTACTTGTCTGCTTCTGTGTATTCGGTATGTGTCTTGACGTTTTCTGCTCTTGTTCAACTGTTTTTAGTTGCTGTCTTCTTTTATGAATCCTGTCTAGGGTTTCGAATGAGATCCATTTCTTATAATGTTGCTTCTTGAGGCCCAGCACCTCCTGACACGTTGAAGTGGGTCCGTAAGATTCCCGTCCTATAAGTGCTTTTCACGCTTCTTTGGACAGCATCGGAGCAATTCCCTGCTTGTTTGTGCAGAGCATTTTCCTCTTTGTAACCAGAGTACAGAAGCATCTCTCCCTAATCTATGCTTTTCCGTCCAGCTTGAGTCCGATGGGTCTCACTGATACAGAGAAACGCCAAGTTGTATCTCCTCATTTCCGCAACTTTGATAAGTCTCCCTGGTCTTCCATATTGTCCGAACATTCCGTATGCCTATATTAATCATTGCTCTGGTTGTTATAAGGGGAATCGGCCTTGTGACTGCAGGAGTTTCTCGGTTTTCACCATGCGGTGTTATAGTTTTCTTGAAAGATCCTTCTACTACAAGGGTAGATATTAAATGACTTAATTTGTTTATCCTGGTTAGCACTTTTTAGCAAGGTTGTTTTCTACGGGACGGGGATGCTAACCCCATGCCAAAACCTCTTCCTTCACACGGGCTTGGGATCGGAAGTAACCCTAGAAGAGCTACAGGCGCAGTTAACTTACTGATAGGACAGGCAATATTTAACCATCGATGGAAGTGTAAAGTGAGTGTTAGAGAATTGCGTGTAGTATTATCCGACTGGTTATCTTTCTTAAATCCAAATCTTTCTTCATCCCCTTTGTTCGAGTGAAATTAATAGTTTTAAAAAAGTCATTGGTTGTTAGTTGGTTGTAAACAAGAAAATAATTCATGGATTCATGTTTTCTAGCAATTATGAGCAGTAATAATTTCGCAAGTACTATACAAGTTGCTTTGAATTTAACCATGGACACCGAAAATGTGTTTCGGGTGAACAATAATTATAGCATAGGGAATCGCGCTATAATCCCTAGTTACATCACATCTCGGTGAAAATTTCACGAATTTCAGCTGAATGACGATAATAACCTATATGTTTAATCTCCTGTGAAACGAAAGATTAATAGTCAAAATAGTCAGGTTTCAACTAATAAGTTAGAGGTTCGAATTTTCTCAACCTACTTCAGTTCAGGCAACCGAATAATATCACTAACCACTGTACAGACTGGTTGAGAGCCGAATACATAAGCGTATACTTGGTAACTTTTATATCGATTCAGTTGAATTATAGTCATTCTAACTACTCGTATATCCAGTAATTATTGCGTTAGACACTTACACCCCCCTCTAAAAACCCTTATTTTTCACCATTCTTAAGTATAAGGGCAGTATTTCACAGGACTTTTGAAAATCTAAATTTGAAATATTGAAATAAGGAATAGCAACATTCTTGCATAAGATACAAGATCTTGAGCATTGCATAAGCGATACCTGAAAGTTATTATCGGTCGACTGATATAAGCTAAACGTTATTTGCATAATCAAAAAATGAAACTAATTTGTATGTAAAATTGAATACTGAAAAATTTTGGAATACTTGTTGGCCTTCAGGAAAATGTTTAAAAGATAAATTAATTCGTTTTTCTGAAAGATAATTATTTGGGGTTGTTGAATTGCAAGAGATATATAAACCCAACAACTTTCGATATATCCCGATAATTGTTCTAGCCATGTTTCGCATATGTTTCGAATAACTCGATAATCCAGCCACAGCATAACACAAACAATTTTTTACATAGAACATTTTCAGAAATTGAACAGGTTTGATAACATTGGAATTATTTTGTTCACAATCTTCTGAAACTTAATTCACACAAAACAATACTTAGTTATATTGATGAATTAAAAATATGTTGATGACGAAAAGCAGAAAGATTTCTTCAGTTATAAGGTGATCAAAACTAACTATTTATCTTCATAGAATCTGATAAGTCAATCGAGATAAAAACAATAAGGTTAAATATAGTTTAACGGGTAGTTAAATTGGTAATTTAGTTGAATATGTGGATGTGTCGTGATTGAGACAGTTTTACGGTTTTTTACATAACTGTCTTTACTTTTGGTACCGTTGGAAGAAGTCGCTCAATACTGATGTAAGAAGTGTGAGGAGCCGTAAAGTGATTGGCTAACATACTGAAAAAGAATGAATTTTAATCCAACTAAACAGTCATGTACGTGTTTATATAATTAGATTTCGACGGTCTTTTTGATGAATTAGTAATACAACACCCCTATTCAAACAAAATACTAAAGTGACAAGTTATAATTAGAAATCAAATGCCTCAACTACCAATTCCTCAATGATTAGTTTTTCATTTAGTAAGACTTTTTTTGATATGGCATAAAAGTAATAACAAGGGAACTGAATTTATTTAGATTTATTAATTAATACTGAAATGAAGAAAAAAACATTTTGATGGCGTAATCCAATAATAACAGGTTATGAACAAAGTGTTACCGGATTGCTCGAAAATACTACATTCATAAAACATTAACCCTTAAAATATTAAACTGTTTATAACCATTCACCTAGGAAATTAGTGTGACGAGAAGTGAATTTTAATTTCAATGTGGTCGAATGATATTTACATTTACTTATATCAGAAGGAGTTTACTTATATGTTTAATTGCTGGAAAAAAACATAGTATAACACAAAATTCATGTCTGAAAATCATTTTATAGGAATTATAGCATTTTGTAACAGTACAGAAAGATTTTCACGGAGTTGCATTCTCTAGGTTGAGTGATTTAACCGATTGAACAATTAACCCACGCAACTCAGTGAACATAACTCCAATGAAGTCAACCTCCTGAGCTACAAATCCTCGTTATCATATTAAATATAGAAGGAGAAATCAATGAGAACATGATTGTACTTAACTAAACAGGAAAAAAGGCAGAAAATATAACAATATGTAAGGGTGATATAGAATGAAAGAACCGATGCCAGTCTTTTACATTTTCAACGATATAACCTAAGTTGTGATTCGAACGCGCTTAACATTTGTTAAGCGTACTTCCCTAAAATGAGACATCAGAATGGACAGCAGTCCAACATGAAAAATACAATTTAACCACATAATCGATAAATTTGGGGAAGTATTGTTTTTAATATTTACTGTAACTCATTTATAAAGTACATATTTTATGCACTCTGCGAAGACTGGTGATATAACCATCCAGTAGCCTGAACTGTAGTAAGTACGTGAAGTTTGGAATCAAAGTACCAAAATTCCACAAATCGTCATCAAGTTTACTCAATAACAAAATAAACACAACAAAATCCAAATTCTCAATAGAATAATTAACAAAACTTCATTAGTAATAGTAACATTACATGAATGCTGTAATAAGTTATTATTAAAACAATAAATTTGCATATAGTTGGAACTTACAACACTGAAGATAGTAATATAACACATGTAGAATGAAGCATGGATCATGTATATGATTAATTTCTACAATCTTTGAATCATTGACATGCGAATTCGAAATAGTCTAAATTGTAAAACCGAATTAAAGTGATTATCTTTCTTTAAAGACAGAATAACTATCACATGTAATTCATACATTTTTATAAAAGACAGAAAAAATTATTGTAAACAAAATTGATTTATAATAATAATAACGGACAATTTATCGTAAGCAGTATTGAATTACTGATACAAATAATTAGTAATATGTAGTTATATGACTAATTTTAACCAAAATCTTACAGTCCTAAGTCAAAAAATTATAAATTATCCTTTTCGTTTAATTTTTTTATGTATTACTTATTCTAGTTTCCTTTTTTGAAATTAATGATTTTAAAAAGTTTCACTTCCATTGACTTGGCTGATCAAATGGTGCTACACAATAAGGGGGGATTATAGAATAAAATCAAGCCAGAAAATGTTGTGAAATGTGATTGACTAATCGAAGACAAATGTCTTAGTTCAAAAAAATTATCGATGATTATAAGAAATAGAGGAATAAACGTTAAATTATAAATGAAACGGACAGATATAGATAGAAAGTGAAAAGTAATAAGGTAAATACCTAATAACGGGTAACACAGTGAAAACAATGTATGAATATTTATACATGTTTAGTATGATTATTCCCAGGTCATGTTTGTTTTACTTCTATAATTTAGACAAAGGAGTATGCAAAAGCTAAACACTAACAATACACATCTCAATCAGATTAACAGAGGCAGAAATGTTATTTACAACAACAACAAAAAACAAGGAAATAGGAAGACTGCATCAAATAATTGGCTATTACTATAACACTTATATACATAAGAAATACTACTTTATACAGCTACCGAAGAATGAAGAAAATAAACTCTAACAAACGACAATAATTAACAACACATACAGTATGAGAAAGCTCCTACGATGAGCTCTTTTTCTTTGAAAAATGCATTGTGACAAGTTCATTAACACTGATTAAAATATTGATGTACGTAAATAATATTTACCATAAATTTGTTTGACAATGGGAACAATACTTACATTAACTGTTTTTAATATATATAATCAAAAAAAATAAAGTAAATCCGTTATTTAACTTACAAACCATCTTCGATATAAAGGGAAGTTATACGCTGAATCTAACAATTGATTATCGTCTAATACATTGAACAACGTATTTACATTTGGTTGATGTAATAAAGTTGGATGATTTAAGATGTTAGTTTGTAAATCGAATTGATAATGTTTACATAGACTTGAACCCCAAACAATATACCTTGATGTAACAAAGAGATATTTAAATTTTGAATCATATTCTAGCCTAATAATATAAACGAAGTTAATTTTTGAACATAGTGAAACTACTTAAAGTCATAAAAAGACTATTACTAACTGGCTAACATTAAAAAATAGTCCATGTGATGTCTAATCATTCAAACTAGCGACCATACAGCAAACTGATCGATAGGATTTGTTCAGAAGAGCTTTCAAAATGTCTACGTACCTCTGAGGTACACATTTCAATGACAGACACTAACACAGAATCTCACGGTCTACAAAGTAAAATGCTGCTTTCAGGTCAACAAAGACTACCATTGACGGACGCCGATAAGCATGCCCATGTACCAAAATCTGACGAATAGTGAATATGTGGTCGACTCAGCCACGACCAGGTCTGAAACCAGCTTGACTTTCTCGTGTTTGCAGTTCACGAGTCTTTGTTACACATCCGATAATTAGTGAGACTAGTATTTTAGATGCTATATTAGTCAAACTAATCCCTCTATGGTTATCACATGATGATTTAAACCCATTTTTATATATATTGGGACGATCAGTGATTGTGACCAGTCAAATAAGATTACATCCAACTACTAGATTTTAACTAAAACATTAGTCAACGTAATAATAGAAATTGAAGAAGAAAACTGATTGTGAATACAGTGATCTACTTCTGACTTTCTCGTCACTGATTTAAACTCGAGTGAGTCTTCGTAATGAGATTTTTCTGGGTCAAGTGAGGCGCAAGCAAATGTGTGCCCGTATTAGAGCATGATCAGAGTAGAAACATGTACTCCAGAACGAGCGACAGTCTTTTATCGAGCCTCTCTAACGATGACTAATGGCAATATGGTCTATTTGAGTCCATCGTTGGTTTGGTGTAGGATGTCGTCATGTTAAACGATGTCTCCTTATGTATAAAATTGGTGCTTGCTAAAAACAAACGATTGTATGTGCACAGTTGCAAAAGACGGTCACCATTGCCTGTTCGCCGAGCCAGAATACCAAAATATCAGTCGAAATGTCTTTCTGTTTGGTTTAAGCTACCTACTTAGGCATGAAAGTCACCTGCGACTAGTACTATTTCTGAGCGTTTAGCTTTTTGAAGAAGTTCAGAAACCTTTCTGGAAAATTCGTCTTTCACTTCATCCGGGCTGCAGTCAGTGGGAGTGTAGGCAGAAACGACGTATATTCCTATCCTTTCGGGTTCTTACGAAGCCGTTTAGCTGAACAGCATATAGGCAACTGTTAACGGGGATCAATTCTAATAGCGTTTGCCCTGCCCTCGTACGTAGTGCTGCTCTTAGTCTTACCGCTCTACAACCGACCTGTCTGGCACAGTGTGACCTTGAGGAACGATTGTTCCAGCCAGTATAGCTCGATTGGTTCACTAGGATAAGCAAACTTAACCACTATGTCAAGGTTAGCATCAACGGTCGGGGTGGTATGGAGTTGAATTTGATTTTTTAAAATAGGCAAATTTTGTAAGTATTGAATGAATAAGATGCTAACATAAAATAGATGAAGCCAATGATACAAGATGATCCAGTGAGGGATACTGTTTTCGAAAACAAAACTACAAACAAATAGAATAAATTTTCTTTTATTTAATAAAATAACATGCTTATGTACAACAAAATTAACAAAAAATAACATGATTTGATGTTATAAATGAATGAATGAGGTTAGATTTGTAAGTCAAACCCTCTCCAATGAAGACCTGATTGTTAAGCCTAATTCTTGCTTACCGTATTAAAACTCAAAGAATTAAATAATAACTTCGTGAATACGAATGAATGATGTAGTTAATGATGAATATAATTTTTTTAAACCAATTTCGAAATCATATCATTCCAGAAAAGATAACAAGTGAAGTCATTAAAAATAATCAAATGGAGAAAAAATGTGAAACTTGACGAAACAATATTATTCCACTAAACTTGATAACGAGAAACTGTTAGTTATCTTATACACATAGGCTAGTTTTACTACTACTCAGTGTAGATATTTACAAACCGTTTTCTGTAAGGTTTCAATAAAATTTCTTAATACAACTACAATGCACAAGATGAAAATTCGAAGAGGATGAATGACAATAATCACTGCATATAAAAATTATTCAAAAGAAATATATAGTTCGTGAGAAGAAAATGAAATCAAAACATAAGTACAGAATGACAATAGGTTCATAATTAAGAGTAAAAAGTAAAAAAATAGTACATCTATACAATTTAGACACATTTGAGGCTTAGTGATATATTATTCAATGCTTCAAGAGTAACAGATTCAATAGATGACTGACGTAAACGAATGTAAGTACATAATAAGACTAAACTATAAGCGCGAACTACCCAATGAGTAAAAATCTATGAGCTATTTGGTTCGTTTTTAGTATTAACTGAAGTTTACTAATCAACTTTATCGTTAAAATTACGTTTATATTTACATAACAAACGTGAAGAAAGTTTTCAAAACACAATCATACAATTTGACCTATTAATTACCATTAATTCTCTAAATATAACATAACAGAAACAAACGAATCTTCAAGTTCACATATCAAGTTAAGGTAACTGTCCTTCATTGACTTTTAGCATTCATTAATGCAGTGGGAATTTGTTAATTTGATTTTAAATGCATTTTTATTGCGATGGTTAAATCAGTCTCAATGGTTGAGTTTATTAATTTTTTTCACTAATAAACACCGAATGTAATCGGTATATAGTTGAATGAAGACGAAGCTAAACTAATCTTCTTAAGACTCTACCAAACAATTCTTCCTGACAATATTGGATTTTTGGAGTAGCACAGCTAAGAGAGAAAGGAACTGTTGTATCATAGTATAAAATTACGGTCGCTTTTTCGATGGTAGTGAGTAGTAAACATTAGTTAGCAAGTTTATAAACGTCCTTTAAATTTTTTTTATGAATACTAAGTTGACTCAAATATGAGGCTACCATGTTAGGTGTAGATTTGTTGCTTGAGCTGTCATAGTACTCAGTCTGGGAATATCTGCCTTTATGACCCACTTGTTTTGTAACAAACCATTTATGTTTTTTGAAAGGGTAGGATTTCATAAAATGTTACGTCCTATAACCCCAGTATTGACAGCAAATAATTTTGTACTGTCAGAGCAGAGTTTCGTTCTTTAATTTATTCAACTATACACCAATTACATCACAGAGATTATTAGTAAAAGTAAATGTTAAACTGGACAAGTATTATATAAACAAAACCACATCGAATCAATTAATACAATGAAAGTGTGCTGAAAGTCAATTAAACGAAAATCATAGTAAATCAAAGTGTGGAACTTTAATATTGATTTCTACTTAATACGTTGTATTTGGGGAATCAATATCCTCTAAGTAAAATGTTCATATAACTTAATATGATATCCTACTGAATGTTATATATTACCTATCATTTGTTCTGTATGGAAAAGTAAAACTATTTGAAAACGAATAATTGAATTAATAGAAGTGATTTTTATGAAAAAATATACACCAAAAGTTACCTGGACTGAGTTAATGATCCTGGTGAAAATTTTTCCAGAAGATAAACCAATTTGAGAATAGTTTGATCTTTCAATACAGAAAGGTGAAAAATGTAACGATGGTTTCGCACAGAGAAATGTATAAGAAATGCTTTTGAAAATATTGAAATAAATTTGTGACGAACAATTTTCTACTTTATTTCATCATGAAATATATGAAATGAGTATAAAATTAAGCAACTGCATGAAAATTTAAAGATTAAAACCACTGGACTTAAATATATGAAAAGAAATGTTCAGCCGTCAGTCAAAAGTTGTAAAATGATCAGTTAGATTCAGTCAGTCAGTCAGTCAGCTACAACGTAGGACCAGGCACATATGTGCATCGGTCCAGGTTGCCATAACGCATCAGCACAACAAGATGAACACAGGATTCATAGCAGTGGTTAGGTCAAAGGTGGTAATATATAAGAGAAAGATTGCATATAGAAATATAGTACAAGAAGAAAGAATTGGTTCGTAAAAAGAAAGATATGAAGTGATTTTAACCTCTTAGTTTAAGGGAAGACAAAGAGTGTATACACCGACGCCATTGTGATCGATTCTGAGCCATGTCACCAAGAGTCTCCAACCATTGGTTACGATAGTCACGCGGACCCCAACCAAGTAGTCTGCATCTACCAACATGGCTCAGACTAAAAGTTAGTGACTTCAAGCACTGATGCCACGTTTTGGTTTGGCCGCCCCTAACTTTCTTCCAACCATCCCCTACGCTAGCATTGCACGTCGTGGTAATCGGTGTTCAGGCATACGTAACACGTGGCCCAACCATCTCAGTCGATGAAGATTCATAACCTCATCAACTGATTTACCATCATTCCCTAATACCCTGCGTCTAACCTCACTATTACTTACCCGGTGATCCCAGCAGACGCCAGCAATATTTCTAAGGCATCTGTGGTCAAATACTAGTAGCTTACGAGTGTCTTCTACTCTTAATGGCCATGTTTCGCTGCCGTAAATTAAAACAGAACGGACTGCCGCGCAGTATACTCGTCCTTTTATTGATAGACGGATATCTCGCCTTCGCCAAAGGTGACGTAAGTTGGCAAAAGCCAAACGAGCTTTCCGAATCCGTGCTGAGATTTCGTCAGACACCAACCCATTAGGGCTGATCAGACTTCCAAGATAAGTGAAGTTGTCAACGCGTTCGACTACTTCACTCCCTATCCTTAGTTCAGGTGTTGACGCAGACCAGTCCTGAAGCAACAACTTGCATTTAGAGGGAGAGAAGCGCATTCCAAACATTCTGGCATTGTTGCTTAGTGCTACCAAAGACTCTGCATTTTGTCAGCGTCTTCACCAAACAGGACTATGTCATCTGCGTATTCTAAGTCGATAAGTGGACCTCCTGGAAGGAGATCAATACCCGAGAATTCAGTCGACGAGAAAGTTATTTCCATCAGTAGGTCTATGATGAAGTTAAACAAAAATGGGAAAGTGGACAGCCTTGACGGACACCACTTGAGGTTGCAAAAGTAGATGACAGTTCGCCATAAGCTCTGACTCGACTAGTAGTGTTCGAGTAAAGAGCCTTCACAAGGTTTATGTACTTCTGGGGTACGCCTTTCAATGACAGACACTGCCACAGAATCTCGCGGTCTACAGAGTCAAATGCTGCTTTTAAGTCAAGAAAGACCACCATTGTCGGACGCCGATAAGTATGCCTGTGTTCTAGAACCTGACGAATGGTGAATATGTGGTCGATGCAGCCACGACCAGGTCTGAAGCCAGCTTGGTTCTCTCGTGTTTGCAGTTCACGAGTCTTAGTTAGGCGTCGATAATTATCGAGGCTAGTATTTTAGATACTATATTAGTTAAACTAATCCCTCTGTGGTTGTCACAGGATGATTTTGACCCTTTCTTATATATTGGGACGATAAGTGATTGTGACCAGTCAGATGGGATAACGTCTAACTCCCAGATCTTAGCTAAAATATTAGTCAACCTAATCGCTAAAATTGGACCACCATCCTTAAAGACCTCTGGAGCCAGTCCATCTGGACCAGCTGCCCTTCCTCGTTTCAGATTAACTATAGCCTTTTGAACTTCAGCAAGAGTTGGGGGACCTACTTCAATGTTCCATTCACACTGTCTGGGAATGGAGGGTAGTTGTAGAGTAGCTGAAGGCCAGCTGAACTGTTCTCTGAAATGTTCCGCCCATCGTTCTAAACGTCTGGACTGGGAGCAGATGAGGGTATCGTCTTTTTCCGAAATAATCTCACTTACACTTGACTTATTAATTCCAGTTTCTTTTATTAGTCTGTAAAGCTGTCTTGTGTTCCCTATAGTCGCCGCCTTTTCCATCTCTTTTGCTTTCGTTGCCCACCACTGCTCACGGTCGTTCCTTAGACTTTTGCTTAACCTAGATCTGATTTGTTTCGCTCTTCATCGTGTTCAGAGCCTGATGGGATGAGTTTACGAGAATCCATCAGTGCAATAGACCTTGAGGAAATCCATTGGTTCTTTGTAACCCTGTGGTTTAAATCATTGATAGATTTCACAGCTGTTTGTATAACTTTCCAAGCAACATCTGGGTCAACCTCGTTTCCAAAACTACCTAAGTGTGAACTCAGTTGTTCCTGGAACCTACTTTTGGTTTTCTCGCTACTCAATTCAGTTCTAATGGGTCTTTTTAGTGTGGCTTTTTTGCGTCCAGTGAGGCGCAAGCAGATGCGTGCCCGTATTAGGGCATGGTCGGAGTCCAAGCAGGTACTCCAGAATGAGCGACAATCTTCTACCGACCCTCTCCAACGATGACTGATGGCAATATGGTCTATTTGAGTCCATCGTTGGTTTGGTGTAGGGGGTCGCCATGTTAGACGATGTTTCTCCTTATGCTTAAAATAAACGATTGTCTGAGCATAGTTGCAGCAGACGGTCACCATTATCTGTTCGCTGTGTCGGAATACTAAAATATCCACCTAAATGCCTTTCTGTTTGGTTTAAACTACCTATCTGAGCATTAAAGTCGCCCCTACGAGTACTATGTCTGAGCGTTTAGCTTTCTGAAGAAGTTCGGACAGCTTTCTGTAAAATTCATCTTTCACTTCATCTGAGCTGCAGTCAGTGGGAGCGTAGGCAGAAACGACAAAAAGGCAACGACGTGTGTCCCTATCCTTCCGAGTTCTTACGGAGCCGTTTAGCCGAACAGCACATAGACGACTGTTGACGGGGATCCACTCTAGCAGTGCTTGTTCCGCCCTCATGCTTAGTGCTATGCCTACACCTGCCAGTCCACGAGAACTGGCCATCGGGTCACCAGATACACGGAGGGTGTATCTCGTTGGCTCTCCGTTTTGCCGAGGTGAGGTCAAGTGAATGACCACACTGGAATCCTGTATGCGTGTTTCGGAGACACAGCATACATCAATGGAAAGAGACTCTAGGGTTTTAGCCAAGGAAGCCTGCTGACCGATTTGACATAGGGTGCGTACGTTGAAGGCTCCAATGTGTAGTTTGGAGCGAGGTTTCAGTAGACCTGGGACAGTGTTTTGCGCACTAGAATCGTTGGCTACGGTGACACTTGAGGTGGAAGCCGAGAGAGGAAATATAGAGGTGAAAGTCGATGTAGGAGGAATAATAAGAATTGAAGAGGAGGTTGATTATGGATACAGTGGTCTTGAGTGCTGTTAGAGATGTGAGGGCGGTTATCACTTCACGGTTTCCCACACCGTGGGAGGGTTCTTCTGGAGGTACCTGAAAAGGAAGTTGGATTAGAGGTAGGTGGTTTTGGTGACTAGAGAGTGTGACCGCAGTGCCCAAGGGACAACTGCTTGAGGTCGGTCACACACGACCTTTTTATGGGTGATTTTTGTGTTAGCTCCGTACTTGTTGAGACCTTACTGCCGGAGACGGATATCCGTGGGATAAGGCGAGGTGTGCATTTTTAGGGTCGACCTTTTCTAACCCCACCCCTCCTTGTGGGAAGGCAGCATCGCTGTCATGCCGGTTGTCTGAATGAAAACCTTACTTCTGTCACACCTCTGTACAGCCAGCAGTACGACTTCGCCTTCGGACCTTGGGTTTGTTGCTTTTAGTCTTACCGCTCTTCAACCGACCTGTCTGACATGGTAGGACCTTGAGGAACGGTTCTTCCAGCCAGTATAGCTCGGTTGCTTCATCACGATAGGCAAACCCGACCACCATCGGTTAGATTATAGATACTAGGTTCAACTAACGATGAACAAGGGTAAAATGAAGTGTTACTAACGTACGTATTAAAGAGACATATGAGAGTAAAGCAGCCTATACATTGTAATCAGTGAGTGAATCCTGAGATTCTTTTGGAACGTCATCCATTCATAGGCTATATTGCATAAACATGAGACGTTTGAAACGTAAACAGTGCTTCAAATTTAGCTTTTATGCTGTGTTCTATTCTAGCTACCGAGAGCGTGAGAGAACTGGATTCCGTACTAATATTAATTAAGTACTGATTCCGGCTTTTATCTCATCATGTTACTTGGTTAGCATATCATTGATTCTATAGTGGTAATCAAGGCGAAATAATTTATACTCAGACTAGATAATACAACATATAAATCGGCCCAATCAGACCGGTCGCAAATATAATGCAAGAAATCTGTTACATTAACTCGAAAGTAGAATAGGTTAATTGGACATAAACGTCAGCAGATTGGTAGGTAAGCATCAACTTAATGGTCTAATGTATGCAACACACCACTGTTAGACAGTAGATTTCACCGACTGTATATTTAGACAGACATGAATAGCGGTAACAACTTTTCGTGTTACGTAATACTAGTTATACATAATCAGCAATTTAAATTCTATTCAGCTATATATATGAGTACTAGATTGATACTTTGTCGTCAAGGTATACACATAAACTTAAGTTACAATATTTTAGTTTGTCTACCATCTGTCAAACACATTTTTTCACTTTGCATTATTTTTAGAAACTTTTGTTGTAATAATGATTTTGATAGTTTAATCGTCTTGCAACACACTGATGAATTTGAATCTTTATTTTGTTCAATATAATAGTATTGTACTTTCAAATAAATCCAACTTTTTGACTCTGGGATAGTTGTTCGTCGAGTTTAGCATATCCGCATAGATCGTACGCATACGTTATCGTGAAATATTCATTTAGAAATATAAGAAAACATTTGAAAAGTTACCTTTCCCCTCCCTATATATATACATATATATTACCAGTTATCATCAAAGTAAAATACTCACCAAGTGAACTCATTGTAGCATTATATGCGCTTAATAACCATAAAACTGGAATATGTCTATAAACAACTTTCGGTGCAATAGAAGCTATTTCTAATAGAAACTTGAATAAATATTCTAAAATTAAAAAACAAAAACAAATACAAACACAAATTCTGTGTTATTTTATTAGTTCATTTTTTCTCTGAAAATAAATACATAGTGGACACAAGTAAAAAAAAAACATTATAAGTAAAGATGAATTGTGGCTACCATCCATCTTCGCTTATATCGCTTGTGACTTAAGGCAATATTGAGGCAATCCACACAAGATGTACATATGCTAATAAGCGACTGATCAATTGCAGTCCTAAACATCAATGGGAACATTCAAACAAACAATACAAAAATCAATTAAAACAAAATCGTTATTATATGACATTATTAATTACCTTTTAATAAATGTTCATCTAAAATCGTTGGGATTTTCGCATTCATTGGTTGGTGTTGCAATGTAACATTTGTGAACAGTACTGTTGTTAAATTAACATATTTTAGAAGTGATTTGAAAAATATTTTTGGTTTGTACAATACAATTAATGATGTATTATTATACAGAAAATGAATAAATTTCGATAAGTATTGATATACTACTGGATAATTTGAATAATGTCTAAGAATGAATAAAAATAAAGAATATAGCTAATTACAATCAATTACTTGACTTTAACGGTGATTATTATGAAAATATGCACGTACAGTAAACAAAAAAAAGCCGAAAAGCAGCATACTCATGCTGAAAATGGTTCCCGACCCTCCAAAATAAACATAAACGGAACAAATCATTTACTGTTTTGTTATTTTATTGCAGTAAATCCGTTGTCGCGTCCGAAATTCCCAGAATGTAAGGTTTTTTCTTTCTTCTGGGATCAAAGAAACTAGTCTCTTATTGAGTGGTAGCTCTTTCAAAGCCATTGTAAACACTGGAAATTTATGCACAACAGTTATTGCTTTTAGTTCAATCATATTTTCTCTCCCTATCTCTCTTTCCCATAGATATTCTAAGTAAGATGTCTTTTAAATAAGATGAGGCCCTAGAAAAGAAAAAGTTAGGGGTCGTTCAAAAGACGTAAAAAATATTTAGGTTTGAAGCATGTCTAATGGATAATATTTAGGCAGTTAAAACCAATATTTTTGGGGATTTCAAATCAAATATGACAAAATGAGTTGCATATTTCCCATCATCATAACGTAAGTTTATCAATGTTATGACACTAATTACTCATTTATATAAATCGAATTGATCGTTGGCAAACGTGCGCAATGTAGTCCGCATAAAGAAAATGTGTTGGTTTAATAAAAGTTACTTCAAACAATTTAGGGAGAGATGAAAAGCACAGTAATAATACTTGCAGTGATATTGTAAAAATAAACGTAGGGAATATGTCTAACTTATAATAGTTTGGATTATCACATTGTTGGTATTGAGACTCATAAGTGACCAGTCTTAGTTGAAACATATATGTATCCTATGCAGATTATCTCAACATTGCCATAAAGACACAAGCTTACATAGAATAGACGGAATATGATCAGCGGTGGAATTCGAGACGAGCATTCTGTCCTATTTGGGATTCACCGGCTGGATGTGTTTGTATCCCAGGATTCGATCAAATTAGATTAAAATCCATACTCGTTGCGCATAACGCGTTGGCATTTGAAGTGAAAGACACTGAACTTAAATCAACGAGTGAACCTCTAACCCGGGATCCAGGTACCTTTAACTTGCGAGTCCTAAGTAGGATGACATGAACATCCATGTTTTGAATTTTCAGGCAAACTTCTTCAATAAAGTAGGTGTCATGACCAAGGTTTGATTTGATAATTTCGAATAAATTGAGCATTGGGTTGATTGTTATAACTAAAAATTATATATTTGTAATATCCCAATGAGTAGAAAATTGGATTTTCCGACGTTTCGTGACTTAGTGTAAGTCACTTCTTCAGAGAATAAATAACCAAATTAAAATTAATCCAAGTTTAATTTGGTTATTTATTCTCTGAAGAAGTGACTTACACTAAGTCACGAAACGTCAGAAAATCCAATTTTCTACTTATTGGGATATTACAAATATATTATTTTTATTCTTCAATAAAGATTAACAATTATGAAATTTAAGCTTAGAACCCCTTACTGATTTCCTACAACTCATAACATTTACTTTAAGTAAATCTGATCAGATTACCCTAAGAATTGATTGTAATTTATAATACAGTTAAAATATACTTACTTGAAGCATGACTTAGTTATTCCTGGCAATTCATTAATAGTATCTATGACATCCGCAGATAGATTATTACAATCTCCAGAAACAGATTTTTCAAGATTTTTGAATACCTTTCTTATTTCTAAAATGAGAAATGTTAGTTTTACAGATAAATGACAACCTTCTGGTAGATCATTTAGAGATTGTTCAATCGAGTTCACCATATCTTCTATTTTGATTGCTTCTTCGAAAACCTCCTCTAAAATATAACGAAGAATTTTTGGTCAACAATTACTGAAGATATAAAGAGAAAGCGATGTAAAGCAAATTTTGCAAGTTTAGTTATATACTTCCTTGGTGAACCGAAAATAACCAATATACATATATAATTAGCATTAGAACAATATAAAAAATACATTGGTTACATGTTTTTATTTACGGTTACACCTCAAAGTATATCTGCAATTCATTGTGTTGATGATGTGTGAAAAAAGATTTCACGTTTTAGTTCTCATTGCACGTTACAGAAATAACGGATTTCATATAGAAATGGATGGTATGGATGGCATGTTCTATAATGAGAACTGTACGAAAGATTAGTAATTTTGTTATACATTTAAGAGACAGAGGTATACAAACGTACTAACCAGTGTAGAAATAAGCCTCTGAGTTACCCGAGTTAATCGAAAGCATCATCTAAATGACAGAAAACATCGTTTTGTTCTAACAACCTGAAAATAATTCAATGAAGCATTGCATCACACATAAACTACAGATGGAATTTCCAAAATAAAAAAAGCTGCACACAAGTTGTAAAAGACGCAAGTTGTTTAAATACACGAAAATATGATCAGGCTGATCTTACGTCTATTTATGACAACGATATTTACTGTAATGGGAATGAAAACTATTTTAAATCAATAACCAAGTGGTACACAAAACGTTAAGCTATGAATTTACCTGGTTCACTTTGATCGGTAGAAGATATAACTTGGTCTATCAATAAGATAGGGTCGTTTAAATTCTTTTTAAATAGCTTTTGAAAGTGAACTAACCATCTGGAATCAGGTATACGCTACAAAATAAAATACGAAGGCAACAATAATCTTATAAAGACAATAATTATACTAGATATTCGTTACATCAGTGTCAATACCAATAGCGAAAACTAATTAGTTATAAGATAAGTCGATAGTCAGTTAGTCACCTAAAACGTAGGACCAGGCAAATATATACATCGGTCCAAGTTGCCACACAGCATTAACAACAAGTTGAGCACCACATTCATAGAAGCAATCACTTCAATGGTAATAATATATAATAAAAAAGATTGCATGTAAGCATATGACAGAGGGAGAAAGAATTAGTTCGCAGAAAGAAAAAAAACGACATGTAGCAACTTCAATCTCACGGCTTAAGTGAAGACAGAGAGTGTATATACCTGCAACATTATGATCGATTCGGAGCCATGTCACAGTCTCCAATCACTGGTTACGATAGTCACGTGGACCCCAACCAAGTAGTCTGCATCTACCAACATGGCTCAAACCAAAAGTTAGTGACTTCAAGCACTGATGCCACGTTTTGGTTTGGCCACCCCTAACTTCCTTCAAACCATCCCCTACGCTAGTCTCATTGCGCGTCGTGGTAATCGGTGTTCAGGCATACGTAACACGTGGTCCAACCATCTCAGTCGATGAAGATTCACAACCTCATCAACTGATTTATCATCATTCCCTAATACCCTGCGTCTAACCTCCCTATTACTTACTCGGCGATCCCAGCAGACGCCAGCAATATTTCTAAGGCATCTGTGGTCAAATACTAGTAGCTTACGAGTGTCTTCTACTTTTAATGGCCCTGTTTCGCTGCCGTAAATTAAAACAGAACGGACTGCCGCACAGTACACTCGTCCTTTTGTTGATAGACGGATATCTCGCCTTCTCCAAAGGTGACGTAAGTTGGCAAAAGCCAAACGAGCTTTCCGAATCCGTGCTCAGATTTCGTCAGACACTAACCCATTAGGGCTGATCGGACTTCCAAGATAAGTGAAGTTGTCAACGTGTTCGACTGCTTCACTCCCTATCCTTAGTTCAGGTGTTAACGCAGTCCAGTCCTGAAGCAACAACTTGCATTTGGATGGAGAGAAGCGCATTCCAAACATTATGGCATTGTTGCTTAGTGCTACCAAAAGACTCTGCATTTTGTCAGCGTCTTCACCAAACAGGACTGTCATCTGCGTATTCTAAGTCGATAAGTGGACCTCCTGAAAGGAGATCAATACCCGAGAACTCAGTCGACGAGAAAGTTATTTCCATCAATAGATCTGTGATGAAATTGAACACAGAATCTCACAGTCTACGTACCTCTGAGGTACACATTTCAATGACAGACACTAACACAGAATCTCACGGTCTACAAAGTAAAATGCTGCTTTCAGGTCAACAAAGACTACCATTGACGGACGCCGATAAGCATGCCCATGTACCAAAATCTGACGAATAGTGAATATGTGGTCGATTCAGCCACGACCAGGTCTGAAACCAGCTTGACTTTCTCGTGTTTGCAGTTCACGAGTCTTTGTTACACATCCGATAATTAGTGAGGCTAGTATTTTAGATGCTATATTAGTCAAACTAATCCCTCTATGGTTATCACATGATGATTTAAACCCATTTTTATATATATTGGGACGATCAGTGATTGTGACCAGTCAAATAAGATTACATCCAACTACTAGATGTTAACTAAAATATTAGTCAACCTAATCGCTGAAATTGGACCACCATACTTAAAGACCTCTGGAGCCAATCCATCCGAACCAGCTTCTCTTCCTCTTTTCAGATTAGCTATAGCCTTTTAAACTTCAGCTAGAGTAGGGGGACCTACTTCGATGTTCCACTCAGGCTGTCTGGGAATGGCAGGTAGTTGTAAAATAACCTAAGGCTAGCTGAACTGCTCCTTAAAGTGTTCTGCCCATCGTTCTAAACGTCTGGGCTGAGAGCAGATAAGTGTCGTCTTTGTCCGAGATGGTCTCACACTTTAGTCCTTAATTCCAGTTTCTTTCATTAGTCTGAAAAGCTATCTGGTGTTACCCACAGCCATTGCGCTTTCTATCTCTTTTTCTTTCGTTGCCCACCACCGCCCACGGTTGTTCGTTAGACTTTTGATTAACTTAGATCTGATTTGTTTTCGTTCATCATCGTGTTCAGAGCCTGATGGGATGAGTTTACGAGAATCCATCAGTGCAATAGATAAGTTATTAAAAGAAATGTTAGGTAGTTAAAGTTCTAGATTTAGGAAATCAATTGTTTATCCAACAGGGCCTGCATTTAATTCTGAAACCGTATTATCAAAGTTTTGATATTAAGAAATTTAATTTATAGAGTCAACTCAGTGTAATAGTCACTTAGTCATAGGGATTCATCAACAATTCATTAGAACCTTTATACTTGCAAGCTGTAGGTTCGTGATTTTCATTAGTAAAAAGTATTTACAGACAGATCTCTCAAAACACCTATAATCTGATGAGCACTCAGCGAATGTTTGTAAATGATACAAAATATTTTCTAGGACATTAAATCTCAAAGACCATTTATTTGAATGATAAAGCAAAGGGCTATGATATTCATTACAATTATACAATATTTGAAGGCTCCCGAATGCCCTGGTACGGCCGAGAGTGGGGAGAGTCCGCTCTCCCTCTCGAAATACTCTCACACGGCCACGCGTATACAGCCTCTGCCAGGGAAGTCCTACTCATTGCCTTCTCGTGGCGGGGGTGTTGTTTACGAAAATGAGAGGACGAAAAGCGAATGTCCGGCGCTTTAACCGGATTCCAAACAAATGGTGCACATGGGCTCCAGTATCCTGCGGGAACAAATGGCGTATGAACCAATCGTTGGTCACCGGCTACCATGGGACTGCATCTCCTTACGATGCTCCACTGCCTTGTGGGTTAGACCTTTAGGTCAAAGGCTCGGGGTGTGGCCCCCTAAGATAACCACCTGCTTCGGTTTGGGCACCCGGGCAGTATCACAGCCCACACACAAATGATGAACTCTTTATGTCTATGGAAATTACTTTTCTCGCTTTGAAAAACAATCAATTGATTCAAATTATTATCATTACAATTATTGTCATTATTAATACTATTATTATTATTACTATTATTGTTATTATTATTATTATTATTATTATTATTATTATTTTCCACATTATTCACCCTCTTTTATACTTATACAGCGGCTCGTCTTTGGTGGAAATTCGACTGTATCTAAACGTTCTCGAGTCACTGTCCGGTTGAAAATTGTATGTTACCACCGAATACGAGGACTGAAGCAGTTTTTCTGAAACCACGTGCACCATTCAAACTGGCTGCCTTCAACGTTCGCACATTTATGCAGGTCGGACAACAGATAGGGCTGGCTATGTCTTTGGAAAGTCTTAATATCGATGTTTGTTGTCTATCCGAGACCCGTATTCAAGACTCTGGCGAAGTACTACAAATTCGATCTCCATCTGTCGCTTCGAAAAGCTTGTTTTACGTGCGCTTATCCGGGGACCCTGTGGCATCTTCGTCTGGTCTTGCTGGCGTTGGTGTCGCACTAAGCGCTAGAGCTGAGGCAGCACTAGTCGATTGGATCCCCATTAACAGTCGGTTATGTGCTGTTAGATTAGAAAGTTCCATCAAAGTGAGAAGAAATCGGCGTGAGAAACGATGTCTTTTCGTCATCTCCGCCTATGCCCCGACAGATTGCAGCCCGGATGCAATCAAGGATGAGTTTTACCACCAGTTATCAGTTCTTCTCCAGAAAGTGCGTTCGACAGATATTGTAGTACTAGCCGGAGACTTGAATGCTCAGGTCGGGCGTCTAGGCACAGAAGAGAGTCGTTTAGGTGGCCGATGGGGACTCGTTGGTCGCAGGTCAGATAACGGGGACCGTCTACTGCAACTTTGCACAGACCACAACCTGTTTCTGGCTAGCACTAACTTTCGGCACAGTCATCGCCGATGTGCCACCTGGCGTCCTCCCTCTGCATCTCAAGCCTGGACTCAGATTGATCACATCGCGATCAGCTACCGCTGGCGTGGTTGTGTACAAGACTGCCGCTCCTTTTGGAGTACCTATCTGGACTCTGACCATGCCTTGGTCTGCGCCAATCTTGCCTTACTTTTCAGTGGACAACGAAGTGACGCCATCAACGGATTGATGTTAGCAAGCTGGTTGCAACTTCTGTTGCAAGTAAGTATCGAACCGAGCTAGCCTCTAGGCTAGCTACCACTCCACCGAAAAGTATAGATGAGCATTGGTTGCAATTGCATGACGCCATGAAAATGGCGGGAACAGTCAGTTGTGGGTTTGCGAAACGTCCCGCTTTTAAGCACTGGGTTTCTTCTGGTTCCTTACAACTCATTGAAGCCCGTCGGTCTACTCCGGGTGACCGTGAGTTTGACCATAAACGAAGGATGTTACGTAAGGAAATTGGGCAAAGCTTGCGTAAGGACCGAGAAGCCTGGTGGTCGATGCGTGCTAATGAGCTGGAAGCAGCAGCTGCATCTGGTAACTACCGGAAGCTCTTCCAGCTCATCCGAGCCACTGGCAGCAAGAAGTCTGGTGTGAGTGAAACAATCTGCGAGGATGATGGGATGCCAATCACTAACATCCATCGACGTCTTGGACGATGGGCAGAATTTTTCGAAGGGCAGTTCAACTGGCCTGCTGCTCCGGCAACATCGGTCAGACTGTCCTGCCCTCCATGGCCGGTGACGACTGATCCACCAAACGAGGAGGAAGTCCGCAAGGAACTCCAACTCTTGAAGCGTTACAAATCACCTGGCCCAGATGACTTACCTCCGGCTCTTTTTAAAGATGGTGGTGACTTTTTGACTAAGGAATTGACGACGTTGTTTACAAAGGTTTGGGAACTAGAGAGTGTACCAACGTCATGGAATGAGTCGATAGTTGTCCCTATCTTTAAAAAGGGTTCACGTCGTTCCTGTAACAACTATCGGGGGATAAGTCTACTTCCGATTGCGTCCAAGCTATTGGCTTCCGTCATTCTTCGTAGGTTGTTCAAAACCCGAGAAAGATTGACTCGCGAGGAGCAGGCTGGGTTTCGTTCTGGTCGAGGATGTATTGATCATATCTTCACCCTCCGCCAAATGTTAGAACACCGCCATACTTATCAAAGGCCAACAATCGTAGTGTTTCTTGACATCAGGGCTGCCTTCGATTCGTTGGACAGGACTGTTCTCTGGGATTGTCTATTGAAGAAGGGTGTGCCTGAGAAGTTTATTAACATCCTAAAAGCCCTATATAAAAACACCTCAGGCAGAGTGAGGGCATACAACCACCTCTCTCCATTGTTCCATTCGAGCAGTGGGGTTAGGCAGGGTTGCCCAATCTCACCATTCCTCTTCAACTTTGCCATCGATGACATTCTGGAAACAGCTCTGATGAATGTAAGTAATGGTGGTGTGGATCTGTTGCCTGGAGAAAGACTTCTCGACCTTGAGTATGCGGACGATATTGTCTTACTGTGCGATAATGCCCAAGGCATGCAATCCGCACTTAATCAGTTGGCAATCAGTGTCCGTAGGTATGGTATGTGCTTTGCACCTTCGAAGTGCAAAGTACTTCTACAAGACTGGCAGGATTCTAATCCTGTACTCACCCTGGATGGTGAGCAGATAGACGTAGTTGAGAAGTTCGTGTATCTGGGTAGCTGCATAAGTGCTGGTGGGGGTGTGAGTGATGAGATCAATGCACGAATAGTGAAAGCCAGAGCGGCTTATGCCAATCTGGGCCACCTTTGGCGCCTTCGTGATGTTAGTCTGGCTGTAAAAGGTCGGATCTACAACGCGTCGGTGAGAGCAGTTTTGCTCTATGCTTGTGAAACCTGGCCTCTCCGAGTTGAGGACGTTAGACGACTCTCTGTGTTCGATCATCGCTGTCTCCGAAGGATTGCTGACATTCAGTGGCAACACCATGTCAGTAATGCAGAGGTTCGGCATCGTGTGTTCGGGCACAGAGATGATAATTCAATTGGTGTCACCATCTTGAAACACCGACTTCGGTGGCTTGGACATGTTCTCCGAATGTCGTCCCAGAGAATTCCACGTCGTGCATTATTTGCCGACTCTGGGACTGGTTGGAAGAAGCGGAGAGGTGGTCAGTGCATGACATGGTGTCGTGGCATGAAAGAAAGCTGCAAAGGACTGGCTTGTGTTGGTCCTTCACGACTCCCTGGTTGGGGTCTGAGAGATGGTGCTACACAGTGGCTAAAGGATGATTAAGTAATTAATTCCAACTGATCTCAAGACTAACTTGAGTTGAAATAAATGTAGAAATCATAAAACTTGTAGAACGCCTCATCATAGTTTCTTTAGCAAAAGTGATTTGCCACAAAAAAAATACAAAAATAGAGGATAAATCCATCTTGTTTTATTCTGTAGCTCAATATAAAATGAGTAAGCAACAGGCTTCAATCAACAGTTTCATACAAGTAATTAAAATCATTGTTTTGATCTATTTATTATCACTCTCTGAACTTACTTCACGAATAAGCAATTCAATCTTCATTTTTAACTGGTCTGATGTAAAATTCATTGTACTTGGTAGCTGGTTTAGTGAAAGCCAAGTTAACGGGATTTCCAACAGTTGTTTCAAGTATCCCATAAGTTCAATGGCCTTATTTTTAACATCAGATGATTTATCATACTAATGAATAAATAAATGAATAATCAAATGAAAATTTCGCACTTCAATATACAGTAAATATTATTTCAGTGAAGTTAATACAAAATGAGAATAAGTAAATGTCATGTTAGGTAGTTGACGGTGATAAGCATAAAGTCAGAGACTTAGCTTTCATGTCAACGTTTTCTGCTAATTGATACCAACTAACCAACATCAAATAGAAGGCATTAAATTGTAGGATCATTTAAACTAATGGTTGTGCAGGAAATTGAATAATAGACATCGAACGGTTACCAAGGTCAAGAATAAGACAAAATAACATGACATTAATCAATCTAGAAGACGATAAAAATTGCAAATTCCTATACCTGCCAATGAAATAAGTGCTATAAATTCCTAAATATTTCCACTACTGATACAACGCAACTCGCGGTAAGCATCTAAGTTAAATAAAGGCATTTTCGAAGTCGATATTCGATGGTTTAACAACATGGTACACAGAACTGTTTGAAACAGGATTTTCATAGGATAATTTTTTTGTACTATGCATAGGTCCATCGACTATAGAGTTGAGATATGATTATTGACACAGTGTGGAAACGAATATTATTCCTGACCGTATGCTCAGGGGATAATTGATGACTATGCACAAGTAATTAATTAATCTATATTTGAACTCCTAAATCTCCCTAGTAACCAGTCGCTACCATTTTCCATCTACCTGGATTTTCTTTTATATTCACATTGTTTACATGATTATCAACCACTACACTAATGAAAGATATGAGTCGTAAAAATTGTTCTACTCAAACGATTTATTTTAATCCAGAAAGTAGAAAATTAAACATTTCTAGCTCGTATAAATTTACTACTTACTCAAACAATGCTAAATAACATCCCAAAATACCCACTTTTTTGATACCCAAATTAGACTTAGAAACTGCCGTAATAAATCGATATATCAGGAAATAAAAACCAACCTGTAAGGCTTTTCTGATAGGATCAATCATTTTCGGTGACAAGACACAAAAATTTGCTATGGTAGTAGCTAATACTTCAATCGTCAGTGAATGAGTTAGTGCGGTTATAGTGAACTGAACGATATATTTGCTAATCGATCTGTAGATCTGAAAACAAATAATTTTAAGTAAAGATATTACTAAAAATGTTCCATTCTGAAAGACATAAAAAATTATTTGAAAGCTATGTTAACTTCGTGAAGTAAAACAGCCACCTATTAGAGTTAAAACGCTTCCATTTGAAATGTGTCTACATTAAAACTGTCCCCAAATTTGTTGTACGATTTCATTTTTAGACAACCGAATAAACACCATATGTTCTATTCAATGTTATAAAATTTTAGAAATTACTTTTTGAGCTATACATTTTAAACATTTACACCGTTCTATATAACATCAGATCACTGCTAAATATAAAGTGTATGATCTATTCTTGTTTTCAGTAACGAAAGCTGACGATCAATGCTTTATTTGATGAATTATAAGAAATAGCCTAATCAATTCGTGAAGCTACCCATTTTGCTTTGTAATATTGATTTTTATCAAAGAACTACTATTCTGTCCACGTGGTAACCAGATCTAACAGTCATACGGAAGCACTCAATTTATTATCAAAGTGAATAACTTGGGCTTAACAACGCTGTGAAATAGTTTTTACAATCAGCCTACAATGGTACTCAACAGTTAAAAACTAATACTTACAGAGCTGTAAACGATTATTGAATCAGAACGGTGAAAGTATTTGACATTAATTATGACTTGTTTTCTCCTAGTTAATTTACATTTAAGAGTCCCTGTTTAGTTCAAACTCAGCAAGATTTGGTGGACGTAAACTAATTTAAATGGTTTCTGATACGGCTTACATTATTCTAAACTTTTATTATCTTTTCACAACAATGTGTATTTCCGTACCAACGATATTATAAGGTCAGTGTTAGTTAAAGAGCAGGACAGGACGTTGTGCCTGAGGTCAACTGTTATGATCACAATCCAGTTTATATGGAAGAAATATCTATAGAACTGAATGTGAGGCTGAAAGAACAGTGTTCGAAACATGTTCTGTTATGTCCCGATAAGAATAATGAATGGTAACTTTTGAGATCCATTGTTGAACCAATACTATGCGTATATTTTTATCGTATAATTTTTAAGTAACTAAATTGTTCATGTTCATGTCCCTCTTATTATGAGCTTTATTTTGACCTATGAAATATTATTATACGATTTACCATTCCTGAGTTATGGCCTGTCTATTAATTACTATCTCCCTCATTCACAGCCACATTTGGCTAATTCTTGTACAAATGTTGTCTCATATCTTATGGTACGATGTGGTCTGTCTGGTTGGTATATAAACCCAGTATGTTTGAAATAAATGATTCATATTGCAGAGGCTGAGATTGGTGTTCTGGACTTAACTGGCTGTGCTAGGCGAAAAGCAGTACCGATAAGGACTCTAGAGTGCTCGCACGGGTTTTACGCGCCATTGGTTCAACCGATAATTCACCGCTCTTTGATTGACGGTATCGTTACGTTATAAAATTAACAGGGCACACAGGTCACAAGTTATAACATGTTCCCAAATCCTCGATTGAACTCAAGAAACTTAAGGATAGATTGATAAATGTTGCATCCGTCAGAAACAGGACAAAAGAAAAACTTTCAAGGAACCAAATAATTTTGAAAGGGCTTGGCGCCCATAAGAAAAGATTGACAGCAGAAGTGCTGTATGCATGGGCTAATCAGAAAAGTCTGGACAGGAAAGATGGAATCCAACTAGCCACACCTTGGTAACTGCTGAGTAACAAGTGGTTGAACCCTACTTCTATCATCTTGTTTTAATTATATGTAGCTTTATTCCGACCCAAACTTATCTGTATGTTTTGACATCAGAACCATGTGCTTGACGATCCCCATTTTGCAAGTACATTGACATTTTAAAAACTTTTTCAGCTTCTAATTTTATTTTTAATAAATGAAGTGACTAACATTCATTTACTAAACATTGATTATTAACAACATAAAGTTAAATATACACACAAATTCATTCTGATTCACACTATTCACATCTTACTGACTCATAATATCCTACCTACCAAAATCAACATCCGAATATGACTGGATATGCTTTAGTATAGATTTGATTGTCAAAATATGTATTCCTTGATAATTTTGATTACTACCCTGAAAAGTTGGGACAAGTTACCTGGACGAAAGATTGGAATCACTAAAATTTCAGCCGTTGACATTATTTTAAATATAATTTTCACATGTAAAGTGTACACGCCCCCAGGCTACATAATACCAAAAACATTTATTCGATAACCATTTTTAGGCTTAATATGAGATTTTTACTGTGGTTCTTTTCTCTGCTGATTCGCAAACACTAAAAATTGATCATTCCTCACTCAATAGTTGAAAATTTCTGCTAAACACATTTACACGTGATTGAATAGTACAACTCACTAGCCCAGTACATATTTCATTAACCCGGCTATGACTCACACATTCTTGTGTGATAATTAGTAATACCACTCGGTTGCCTAAATCAAAGTACACAGAGTGGGATTCAAAAATGCAACCTAATAAACAAGAAACTAGTGCCTCACTGATTAATCCGCCACCAGATACATATAGTTTCAATTCTTAGTGCACCAAATGAAGGGCTCGTATGTAATGATTCAAATATCAATGAGATGACAAGTAAAAAGTTTATCAGACGAAAAAATTTATGTAAAATTGATTGTTCGAAATAAAAAGATGGGGATATTTCGGGAATATGGGAAGATTCAACAACTGAATGATACTCGCCAGCGAGCCACGAGAAGTAAGGAAACTAGAAAATATATCGGGAGATCAGCAAAACAAATGCTTATCAGGCCTAAACTTATTAGCAAACCTGGTAGGAACGCTAGATAATATAGTTCATCTAATGAATTACCAAAGTCCACTTCATTCTGAAAGTAACTTTGGTACTAAATTATTGACTATTCTGGGCCAATGTTGCATAAAGTTGGTTTATTAGCACTTAGGTTTCGCACGTTTCTAGAATACTTTGCTCATTATTTATGGAACGCATTGGAATCATAAGACCAGCTTTTTTCTTTCTCTACATGATGAAACAATTGTTACTTTGCTCCAGCGACTGCTCAGGCGCTGGTGATCGATGAAAGGCATTTTATTTTCACTAGCATTATTCAACTTACAGACATCCGCTCAATGTGGACCCTGACGTTTTAAGAAGAGAGCTTAATATGTGATTTTCTGACATTGACGATAAGTATTAAGTTACTAAACAAACAAACAAGAAAGTAGAACGGTCTAGTTGTATTTCAGTTCCTAAAATTACCATTACTATACGAATAGTCAAGCTCAAAAAGCGAAAGCTAAAATAATGAACATAGCAATCCAACAACGACAAATAGCAAGCACAAGTGACCAGTTAGAACCACTTCTTCCAACTACCATTCCATCTTGGAGCAGATATTGCCCAATCATATGATATAGATAACCAAACTACTTTAACCAGTGAGAATTTAAGAATATAACCCGATAATTTACTAACTTAATCTAACCCTAAGTTTCGCCTTCATTTTGCTGGGTGATGGCTTCAATATAGCAAGATTCTTTGAATATATCTATCAGAGAACGCTTAAAATTTTTGAACACTTAAATCCATAGGCCTTAAAAACAAGACTGATGTATAGTAGACTGATTATCAACCAACAATGAATTATACTAGTCATAGGTGAGAAGTAATTATCATTGATTTGTGTCCTAGAAATGGTGCAACACCATGGCTACAGACGTTATCAGACAATCCCCAAGATAGATGACAATGGTGATCCTACTGTAACTTTCTTTTACTTTCTTCATAAAAGTGAACGTAACTTCTTTAACTGAAATTCATTTCGGTTGCATTTTTACCAAATGAACTGTTTCGCCCATTATTACTATTACTATTATTATTTCACGCGCATACATTAATTCCTGTTTGTTGTTCTTTTTATTATACGTACTTTGAATTCTCTATCTCTTTACCAACTCCCTATCATTGTGTGGCGCATATGTATTTGGTTCCCATTGTACCAATTTTAATGTGTTCAGATGAATATAAAGAATTAGTAGAACCCACTAGACATCCCTATAACCCCGTAAGCAACTTACCGTCGCCACCACAGTCGTTTATGTGACTATAGATGTGAAGTCATTAACGCTTCTAAACACTGCTTTTTTTGTAAACGTCAACACAAATTTATTTTGCATTGGCGATGCTAAGTACATATCAAATCATCGCACACAAGATTAATTTCTGAGAAACTAGGAATTCAGCACCAGACCATACAAACAGAATATGAAAGTTAACCAGGATGATAATACGATGGACTCACGTGAAAAACAAATTCGATTAAACAGAACCAACTAGGTGAATCCCGTGGATATAAACTAGGAGCCAAATGATCGAGGTAATGTAGGAATAAATCTGGACATTTACAGAGCGCTACGACAACCAATTCAGTACGTAAGGGGTCCGTATATGCATCCTCCATCTGAGCGGACGTCAAGCATAGTAGTATTAAACGATTGTACTGACTACAACGAAACGATTAAGACAACAAAACATGCGATAAGATGTAAATACATATTTTTTGCAAAGCATTTCATATTATAAACCAAACCTATAAGTTTACGAAAGGTTATGACCAAAATACTGTTAAAAACAATAGCATGAAACCAAGTATGCAGAATCTCATGGACAAATGAATGAATCTGACAATGAAGATTTCTGATTTATAAGAAACATTTGGACGGTAAACTTACACGTTAACGTCAAACTTATTCGAAAACACTAGCCCAAATCGACTAGATGTGAAAAGATGAGTTAGGAGCTTGTGTACGGTGTCTCTGATCGACACTAACTCATGTTCATTCACCTCAGCATTATCTTTTCTCAGTACTTCATCGACAGTCTTACCCTCCCCACGCCACATATACAAAGATGTTAACTTTTGAAGACAATGTCGATTGAATACACGTACCCGCTGTGTTTTGCTGACTGAACTGTTTTCAGCTACCTGTTATGGGATAAAATTCAAACAATTAACTTACTTTCTTGAGGACGCATAAGATTAGAATTACGTTTGAATATTTGTCCACAAAAGACTCACTAATGAGCAGATCCAGAGCACCTAACGAGAGTAGACTATGTACAAATGACTCCTACCTTTCTTGTCTACTAGTTCTCTTAGAACAAAATTGTTGTCTAAATAAACAAAAGAAGCCAAAAAATTTATGAAGCACGTCCGGACGTCACATTTATCGAAAAGGTTTCTTCTTTGAGAACATTTCTTCATCGTCGCGCTATCGAAATCAATATATCGCAAGACCGCTCGAGCTAAATCTTCACTGACTGTCACAACGGATGCTAAAAGTTGGAGAGATGTCTTTAAGATTTCCGCATTCTGAGACTTTCTCATTGTATTGAGGCATAATGAGAAGCGAGAGTCTTCAAGAAAGCCCTCGGCAAGCTCTCTGGCCACATTTGGAAAACGACTGCTTAACTCGTGAGATGTTTTCAAGATAATAATGTACAGCGCTTTCAAGACTGCATGAAGCTGTAAAATTGTTCACTGACTACCCAATCTTACCTCTCCTGCCTTTCGATCTTGACCGGAATCTAGAAATTTGAGTATCTGAACAACATTTCCACCAGCAACGACATCAACAACTAATTCATCCACATCCTCGTTATTTATTGACTCAACAAAATTCACCAACACTAGACATGGGATTAAAAGAGATAGACGCTTTACCTGAAATATCAGATCCAATAGATTTGAATCTATCAATCCTGTGATAAGAATCCTGTTTCGTGAATCCGTCGTCATATAACTTAATACGCTTCGAGCGCTCCGGCATTTCCAAACTACGGGCTGATTGCGACTACGACCAAGTTAACGTCAACGCAACCTTTTGAACAATTCGCCAAATGTCTTCAGTTATTAAGCATAGGAAGTCCATCGACCTATATTATTCCCTGCAGTTTGTAACACTATGGAGGTCCAATCTCGTTTTGAATATATCAACAGAATACTCTGATATTACGTGTTCTAGTAGATAATTCTGGTGGTTCACCACTTGGTCTGAGAAACGAAGCTCAAGACGTAGACGATTCAATTTCTGTTTTCGAACTTTCTCAGACTATACTCTCAAATGATCAGTCCTAGACGGAAGGAAAAGATAAGACAGATTAGTATCAAGGTCATCGTGCAGTATACGATAAATCAATGTTAGATCACCCCGTATTATACGGTAAGATAACGGAAATGAGTTAAGGTGTCTTAGTCTGTCTTCATACGATAGACCAGAGATATATTTTGCCGTTTTAGTTCCCTGTCGTTGGACTCGTTCCAGTACATCTGCTTCATACTTGAAACAAGGATTCGCTGCTTGAATTCCATATTCTAAATGCGGTCTCACGAAAGTTACACGAAAATTCAGAATTACTAGCTGAATCAGATCGAGCAAAAGCTGAGAATTCTTCAGACTATTTTAGCGAAGTCTTCTCTACGTTTATTGTAACAAATACTCATCCCACTCACACCGAGGTACGAACCATTGAATCTGTACAGGTGACTGAGGAAACTGTCCTTCCGTTGATAACTAACCTCAAACCCGATAAGAAACCGGGCCCTGACGGGTTACATCCATGGTTGCTGTCATCTCTTGTGGACATTATTTCAAAACTGCTCGCGACACTCTTCAACATGTCCCTTTCACTCGCTCAACTCCCTAGAGATTGGAAGGACGCTATAGTCAGTCCTATATTTAAGGACGGTCAGCGACAGATAGTATCTAACTGCCGGCCTGTCAGTCTAACTACCATAGTCGTTAAGTTACTTGAAGAGATAATTCGGGTTAGGTTGCTAAGCCACATAGATTTACACAATCTGTTAGCTCCTGAGCAACACGGATTTCGTAACAAGCGTTCATGCTTGACTAACTTGCTTATTGCGAGGGAGGATTGGGCAGCAGCCCTAGATAACGGTCTGTCTGTCGATGTGATATTCATAGGTTTTAGCAAAGCATTTGACAAGGTTTCATACGTAGGTCTTATGCAGAAGCTCACGAGCTTCGGAGTAATAGGTACTGTACATGAGTGGATGGGAAATTTCTTATGTGACCGCAGACAGAGAGTGAGGGTCAACGGAACGCTATCCGATTGGAAGCCGGTCAAAAGTGGTGTACTCCAAGGCACCATCTTAGGCCCCCTGCTCTTCCTTCTCTACGTTAATGAGTTACCGCTGTTACTTAGGTCGTCGACATTATTGTTTGCGGATGATGTGAAAATCTGGAGAACAATAAAAAGTGCGGATGATCATGTGGATCTTCAAGCTGACTTAGGCGATTTAGTTAGATGGGCTCGAGAGTGGGGCTTAGAAATCAATGATAGGAAGAGTATACTAATGCACATCGGTCACGGTAATAGTTACCGTTACACTATTGAGGGTAAACCTCTTCCATGCGTTCAAGAGCATTAAGACTTAGGAGTATTATTAAGTCATGATTTAAAAACAACTACGCATTGCAAAACAGCCGCTGTCAAAGGTTTTCGTGCGTTATGGTCACTTCGCCGAGCGTTCAAATCCTTTAACGAGGAAACGTTTCGAATTTTATATCCCATATATGTTAGACTACATTTAGAATACTGTATTCAAACAGCTAGCCCGTGTCTGGTAAAGGATACTAACTCCCTTGAGCGTGTCCAGCGTGTAGGAACGAAATTAGTGAAGGGTCTTTCTAGACTCCCTTACGATGAGCGTTTAAAACGCCTAAATCTTTTCCCCTTGTCGTATCGTAGGACACGAGGTGACCTTATACTGGCATTTCGTATCTTTAATTATGATTAGGGTGTTAATATGTCTTATCTTTTTGCTCCCTCCAGCACTAATAATCTCCGAGGTCATAGCAAGAAGGTTCATAAACCACGATCTAACAAACTTAAAGTGGGGTCCCGTTTTTCTCATCGAGTAGTCAATGATTGAAACGCCTTACCTGAACAAGTGGTATCAGCCCCATCAGTGAATATTTTCAAGGAGAAGCTGGACCTTCACTGAAAAGCAATGTGTCAGAATTAATACAGGTTCACCAACCTACTATCCTTATTACTGAAGACTGAAGACTAATAATCTAAACGTTTCTCCGTCCAAGTACTGAAATGACTTACGAATAGCCAATACTAACCTAAAGTATTTGGCAGCAGCGACCTTGCAGTTGCTCGTAGTTTTGGGGTCGCTGATTATTATAACTCCTAAATCTTTATAGTCCATTACTTTGGGTGACACAACGACACGTATTGTGTATTGATACAAATTGTCATAGTTGTTTAATTGCATCACTCTTGTTAAGATTCATTTTACAGGATTATCCTGATCCATTGGTCCCGGATACATTTTAAAACTGGCTTCAAAAAAACTCCAATCTTTTTATGCCTAATTTCAATAGAAACTCGCACAATTAAGTTGATAACACTAATAAAGTTCGGTTTTTCCAATACACTGAAGTGTTGAGATTATTCGAAAACGTGAAATTAGCAACGTGGTGGAAAAACAGTCTGAAGCATTTACACCTGAAATATATCTTTACGAACTAAAAATTCGCGACGTCCTTGGTTCAAATGGTTCAAATGGTTGTAAACGGGATAGAAGAAGCTTTCGCTTAACAGGCTTCCGTGTCTAGTAGCAGGGGATCCACAAATCCTCCGGGCAGGAACCTAGGTATGTTAACAATAAAAGAGGAAAAAGAAATTGGTAAATCATAGTGTGATACTATCCTTAGTCCTTAAGAATAGGTCAAGCTGCCTCTTGAAGGACTCCTGGGAAGTCGCTTGGACTAGCTCGGCCGGCAGCGAGTTAGTAAGGTTTTAGGATTAGAGGCAAATTTGTCCATAAGCTTTGTCTGGTACTGAAGCCTGTCTTCTCTTATAGCCTCCGTGCATACGTTCCTGATATGTTTATATTGCCTGAACGCTCCGTCGTTGCTAGTTCGTTTGTGTTCCTCCCAACAGTGACTTTTGCGGCTTAGCAGGCGAAGGGTACGGTTCTTGATTATTGTAGGTGACTTTCAGCTTTTGGGAACCGTTTGAGGAACTGAATGGCTTGTAGCACATAAGAGCGTGTGCAGTAAGAAGTCCCAATAACCGTCCACATCGAGTTGGGGGTGAACATCCCAAGCCACCTGTTGTAGATAGTCGTGTAGAGCTGGCACATTCAACCGTTTAAAATTCCAACGCAAGTTGTTGTAGGTATATCTTGGCTTAGTTTTGCTGACAAAACTGAAGGCTATGACGGGGATCCAGGATTGAGAGGTTGTCAACTAGGAATTCTTCGTTTGTGAATGCACAGTCTAAGCGCGATGGTGTCTGACTGTTTCTCCAACGAGTTGCCGACCTCACATTTTCGTATAATCCCAAGTCATCGATGAGGTTGAAGAACCGAGCTTTAATTGAGTTATCGCTTCCAGTATACGTGTGATCCGCGAAGTTGACTCTAGGGAGATTAAAGTCCCCTAGAATCAGGATGTGTGTGAAACCGAGACGAGTAGGGCGGGATAGCCCTTCCAACATACGACTATCGTACTCAATGTCGGCAGTTGGCTTCCTGTAAATGACTCCGACTAGACACCTCGAAGTACTAGACAATCTAACAAAGCACCATGTGGATTCCTCAAGATTGTTAAACTCGAGGTTATGAACTTGGTGCACGTCCAAGCAAGAACGTATGTATACAGCTACTTCGCCCCCAATTCCTGTTTTTCCGTCGTTGAGGAACAAATACATCCCAGGTAATGCTAACTCTTGGTCCGAGAACTGAGAAGATACCCAGGTTTCAGATATTCCTATCAAATGGGCCTTGTTAGCGTTGCTAAGTTGCTAAGTTCACGTAATTCATCCAATTTGTTTGGTAGACTCGCGGCGTTCATATATAAGCAGTTTATTCTTTCAATTTGGAACGCGTGAGCTTCGTCCTGTTTGTCTGTATGAGTCTTACTTGAATGGACAGGTAGCCCACCTATATGAGGTTGACCGAGGTGGTAGGCCCTGTCCTTTACACGTTTTTTTAATCATCTAGACAGTTCGCAAGGGGAATGGTCAGCTTCATCTTGCCTTTGTGTTTGGTCCTAGCTTCGTATGGCCTATCCGGGTGCATGTGGAACCCAGGTGGCAATCGACGTCTGTTTGCATGAAATGCTTCCAGAACTGCAGCCGCCATGTGGGAGGATAGGAAAATTATCTTCATTAGACGGGGTCTAGGGTCACCATCCTTCTTGGCTAGTCTCGTCACATGCTGAGTCAGTATGTGTTTGATCCTCAAGGACTGGTTAATGAATTTCCATTCCCTGACGTCAGAGTTTGATTGAGTAGGGTCCGTATTTTCCGGCATACCTTGCACAATTATGTTTCTTCCGCGGAAAAACTTATCGCAAGATTCTTTTGTAGTGTTCCGTATGACATTGCGCTCAGAGTACGGTATGTCGGGCAATATTCGTACCTCCCTATCGGATTTCAGCAAGTGACTGGCTAGCAAGACGTCCTCTACATCGGTAGCATTCTTAAGTGTTACTCGAAGAAGCCTCGGGTGATTTAGATGCTTAGAATCCTTTCCTCGAATGAACCGGGTGACCGTCAAAGGGTTTATTCTGGGAAGTTCGAGGTTAATGTTCAGTTCACCCCAGAGCATCCTATCATTTTTGTCCTGCAGACTGAGAGGAAGGTCAGGATTGTCAATGAGATTCGTGATTATGAGAGAATCGTCACGAACTGTTGTTGATTTGCCAGGTTTCCCGATGAGTTCAGGTTTAATACCTTGTTGTTTGGAGGTCAAGGCACGTTTTTGAATCTTGGGCTCTTTGATGACCGGACGAACATTCTTGAGGGTTGACTGTACGACCAAAACACCAGTTGTTTTCCGTACAACAACACTTGTGATGCTCAGCTTAGGCGGTGACACCTGGTTCTTTTGGGCTCTGCTAACGTGGGTCGAATCACCTACAGGGTTTTTGGGAACCACTGTTGTGTTCAGGGACCCCAAGCTGGGAGACCCGAGTTTGCTTAGGGAGTCTAATTCCGTCGACGTAATGATGGTTCTGAGCTTCAACACGTCGTTATTAGTGCTAATGGATGCTCCATCGATGGTATACTTGTCGACATCCCTAATCTTGTGCTCATTGCGCGCTGTTGTTTGTTTACCTGATTTTTTACTGTCGTTATCCAAGTTTGCTGACAAATTGTTCCGCAGACCTGTCAGTAGGACGATGATGTTACATAGCGAGACTACAGCACCCGTGCTGCACGTGACACATACCCACTTTTGGTCCGACTTGCTGAGTCTATTGTAAGCAGTCGCCGTCAGGTCTGTGAACGCTTCGTGGAACCAACCTTTGCAGTTGTCGCACTGCATGCCAGTTGTAACAGCAAAACGGCATCCCGGACGTTTGCATGAGTTTTTCATGACTGTGTTGAAGCAAACTATGTTATAGATGTTTGCAAAAGCCTAAGATCGTAAAAATACACTAAAAAGCACACTGAAAACGGACAAAAATGGATAAAAACGAGTGAAATAAAATGAATTGGTTCGAAATGTATTGCGCAAATATACCACATAATTCTGATAAACTACGTCTTCTCATTGCATTATCGAAATTTATCAAAAGGACTAATTGTTTTGAATTAGTCTTTACGTGAAAAACAAAAAAACGAATAGTAAGCTGAGGCTAAACCACAGTTAACTATTAAATATGGTGAAACTCAAAAAAAGTAATCTACCGAACGTATAGCTCAGGATAGATCCAATAGAACTGAAATGATACTTCTGTTGCGTAAGAACACAGAAAAAGTTTGATAAATGCAAATCACGTTAGGACTAAACTTTCCGTTAAAAGTTATACTGACGTCACATCTTTCAACTTTATTAAAAAGAACTGGGTCAAAATATCCTACTAAGTACATGAGCTAGGATTTCGTACATTTGAACGCGTCAGCTCCACAAGACATTGTACATCAGGTCGCATGGAAAGTTCACCCTTTGCTCGACATGAATGCTCAATGTAAATGCTTACTGCACACCAACTTATATGCTACAAATATTTTGTCAGTAAGCAGTTCTTATAAAATACAAGTGACGTGCAATCATAAAGATTGATACTCCAATGGTACCACTTCGTGAAATAGAACTGAACTAAGTATGACAGGACATAAAGGGACCTCAAACAAGCAAGAAACCAATGCACAAAGGCAGTAAGAGAGGAAATGATTCAGTACCGCATACTACCCGCGCGCTACGGACTGGACGTTACTTTCAGGCCGAGGTTTTTAGTTTCACTTTTCTAGGATTCTCGCATAGCTGGATGAATTATTTTTTCTTGGAATTATGGAAAATAACTCTATTCTTAACTATTAGCATATAAACTGTGAATTTCATGCCATATGATAAGTTCTGAGTTCAACTTACAGTATTTATGATCATATTCATACAATAATTCATAATCATATGATTACATATATTCATTTTGACTATACGATCAAACTATACTTTGAAACCGTATATAATCATATTTGACGAAGATTTGCATTTCATATCTGTATTCTATTTCTTAAGGAATATATGATTATATCGTATTTGAATGCTTTAACCCACGTACTTTATGTATCTACAGGATCTATTCAAACCTCTACCTAATATCAAGAAATATATATAACCGTGTATGTTAAAGGACTGTATTCACTATTTTATTAACTATCATTTAAATCGTATTTGGATACTATAAATTATTTCATTTCCGAAATTACCTGTCCAATTCGGTGAGTCTGTCATAGTTTGTTTTTTTGACAGTGTTTTTTTCCAAAAAGCTGTTTCATATATTTGTTCAAGAAGCAACATAATAACTTTAGACGGTAATAATCTTCTAAACTACTTATCTCTGCACCTCCCAATTTTTACTAATACGGACTTTCAGTTTATATATGTATCACATACCGTACTTTTTTTGATTGTTTGATACTAATTATCGACATTTCTAAATTACTTTACTATATAAGGCTATCTTTCGTGTCATATATGTTAAAATTTATACAACTTGCTCCTTTATATTCTATTTTGCCTCCACACAGATACTGACATAAATACTTCATCTCCACTACTATCTTCCTGCCATTGTCATCTTTTGTTTTTAACACCACTAATCCTCACGATACATTCACTCTTGGTTAAAACATAGATTTTGATTTTTAGACTAACTTGAGCCCTCGGAATTGATTTTTTCACCCCTATTTCCAACATTCTGTTCAAACCACTTGCTATACGTCACTTTATCATGTCACAAAAGAAAATGAAGACCCCTGCTCCTAGGCGTTCAGCCAAACGTAGGAAAACGACACAATTTAACACCTCTACCGATACGATTTCCAACAGTTTCAACGAGACGTGCCACTCCGTTCATCCGGAAGCAGACAGGCTTTTACCAGTTGTCTCCATTCCAGACATGTTGAAAACTCTGATGGTAAACAGTGATGATAATCGCAACTGCAACTATATGGATGCTATAAAGAAGTTGCAAGTAGACATGAACATTCTCAATCCGCTTAAATATCTCATCAACCCCAACCTCACAGAGACTCCAGATCAAATGAATGACATAAATATTTTCCTAGATCGTGTTGCATCAGAGGTATTTGAAAGAATAAGACGATCTAGCAATGCAATTGTGTTTAATATACCGGATACACATGCCCTTAAAAATATCAAATCTAGTCTGCTTAGAGCCAGCAATATGACACACGTACCATGTGTATGCACAAGATTAAAAAGAAGTCATCCTGGTATGCACTCACCGATCTTGTTCAAATTCAACTCATCTGTAGACGCCAGTGAATTTTTAAATTCCTCCAATTCATTGAGACAAAAACAGATTTTCAAGGATATTAAGACTCTTCCGGATAAAACACCATGCCAGCGAAAAGCAGGAAGAGATAACTACAGACCATCAGCTTCAAACTCTCAAATGCATCATAATCCTAATGGTTGTAACGTTAAGTCCGATTCTAAGAGGACGTCTAGCTTAACAACTTTGCCGCCACCAAAAAACTCTTCTGAATCTCATAAAGTTCAAAACCCAGAAGAAAGTAATCCCGATGTAGGTGGTGTCCATCCTCTTAAGAATGTTGACTTAGATTCAACCCGAAGTAGTTGTGCTGATGAAGAATGGGATAACACAATCCAAACCCCTGTTAGTGCAACACCCAGTTACAGTAACTGTGCAACGGATAACAGGAAAACTAATCATAACATTCATATAACTGACCACGCACTTAACGTTGATATATTCGAACCTCGCAAACCATCGCAAGTATGTTTAACAGTACACAATCCTCTCCAACTTATGAAGAAGCCGAAATCAACCACAAACCTTGGAAATAAACGTCTTAAACACGTTACCCATACGTCAGGTATAAATAGTTATCTGAATTGTAATTGGCCACTTGGTCACAACCATAGACCTGATAGCCTTCTTGGTCCGGCTCCCAATATGTACAGTATGCCCTTATCAGATGTTATATCCAATAGCAATGAAAAGAATTTTTTTGTAATTCCGCCGGCTTTCCTGCCGGCAACGGTAAACATATTTCACATGATGACAAAGTGGTTGAATCTATTTCCCCTCGCAACACGACTCTTACCTTAGCTAATCCTATGAGTATTCATGGAACTACCAATTGCGATTTATACTCTAACCTGCTTCACTATGATGACTCTGAGTTTCTTATTCTTTCGTTCAATGCCCGCTCTCTGTCTAATAAAATTATTCATCTTAAAACTCTTTTATTCCTTGTTAATCCAACCATTGTACTTATTACGGAAACGTGGTGTAATTCATCTATATCCGATCATTCCTTGAATGTAGATAACTACGTTTTCTTTAGAACCGATAGATGTTATGGAATAGGAGGCGGTACAATTATCTATGTCCGTTCAGACATTCAAGCGTGCAAATTTGAGGATAAATCCCTTGATGCTATAGACGACTCCACTTGGGTTACTGTAAACTGTGGATCCCAAAATTATTTACTTGTGGGATGCATATATAGACCACCTCATGCGGATACTAAGTTTGACAAATTACTAACAAACATATTTTCCATTGCTTCGCACCAACCGCATACTTTTAAAATCATCGGAGGCGATTTTAACCTGCCAAAAATTAAATGGGGCTTGACTCCGGTACCAGGTCGATATAACAAGCTAGTTGAAACATTAGAAATTTGTGGATGGGTTCAACAGGTCCGAAAACCAACCAGGGGGAATAATACACTTGATTTAATGTTCACAATCAACATAGACTCTATCTCAGTACATACCAGTCATGAGTTTTTTATGAGTGACCATAGAGTTGTATTGGTATTATTCACTCTTTAAACGCCATACAATTGAACTCTAAAGCTTCATTGATGTACCAAAGCAGACATTTTGATCAACAAACATGGAAACGGACTGGAACTCTCATTCAATGTTTACCATGGGAAACTTATTTTACCACAAATAATGTTGACATTGCGCTTTCCAATCTATACCACAACCTGATATATTGTCTTGACTGCACTGCTCCAGTTATTGGCCGTGTGGCTTATAATGCTAATAGGGGCCAAAATACTTTTAAAAGAAAGCTGAGGAAATTAAAATGCCGCTACTACGAGCAGAATGATGTGTATGCACTTCAGAGTATACTTAAATTAATCAACAGAAATGCTTCATCTAAACGTAAGTATTTTATGAATATAGAAAATAAAGCTCTACGTAGTAAAAGCCCAGAATTATCAATACTTCGGCTTTTTAAATCCCGTGTAAAGTCAAATTCCCTTGGCACGACTAAATTCTTCATAGTTAACGGAAGCATTGTTAACGACCCGAATACTATATGTGAACAATTCAGCAAGCACTTCTCGCAGTGCTACAAAACTGGAACTGAAAACTCCATCATTACATTTCCAATGCTGACATCCAGACATCTGTCGAAAATTGATTTTACACCCTCCAACATCAAGCAGGCCATAGCTGCCCTGAAAAAGTCTTATGATGGTGGACCTGACGGGATACCTTCATCATTTGTGAAATATGGAAGTAGAGAATTTCCACTATTTTGTTTGAAACTTTTCAATCTATCTATGGAATATGGGACCTATCCATCTGTATGGAAAACATCCCTTATCACCCCTAGATTCAAAACAGGACCACGTAGTGATATTATTAACTATAGGCCAATTAATTTGACATCCGTGCTCTCAAGAACCATGGAAAAAATCATCCACAAACAGCTACTATCATTTTTACTTTCGGCTAGTCTGATCAGCCCATCCCAACACGGGTTTATGACTAAACGCTCATGTTTCACATCGCACCTGGAGTTTTTTGATCAAATTACCCAGAAAAGAGATGTTGGTCAGTCAGTGATAATTCTTTACTTCGATTTTAGTAAGGCTTTCGACAGTGTCTCACACAAACTTCTTCTTTTAAAACTCTCTTCATTTGGCATACAGAATCCCCTTTTATCTTGGCTCAAATCTTTTTTAGAAGAACGTAACCAAATCGTTCGCTTTGGATCATGCTACTCTAAACCTGTGAATGTAACCAGCGGGGTTATACAAGGAAGTGTGGTTGGTCCATTACTCTTTCTCCTTTTTATCAATGATGTGTGTTCCCTCTTTCAGTATGGTAAGCCTTTTCTTTTTGCTGATGACCTGAAAGTAGTTTATTCGTTCTCTTCTCCCATGAAAGAAAGCTATATTTCAGCGGTAATCCAAGAGGAAATAAACAAGTTGTACGAATGGACTATTTCGTGGAATATGCCACTTAATGTTGACAAAAGTGGATTTATTCACATTGGTCGCTGTCTTAACTTAAATCTGACTGTACAGACACATACACTCAAACCTCTTAACACTGTTCGTGACCTGGGTTTAAGATATAGCAACAGTCTGAACTTTTCTGAACACATTATATCTCAAGTATCCAAAGCTAGAAAGCTCATCGGATTGATAATGATAAACTTCAATAATATCGAATCGAGATTGTTACTATACAGAAAATGTATCTTACCCATTCTTGAATATGGTATTTTAGTTTACAGTAATTGTAGACATACTGATCTGATTAGAATTGAAGGTGTTCAAAGAAGGTTCACTAAAGCTGTTCTGCGGTATTCCGATAACAAAGACTATTACCAAAGATGTCAACAACTCAACTTAGAGCCTCTTTGGATCAGACGTATCAAATTAAATCTTGTCTTTATCTACCGGCTTATTAACGGTATTTCCTACTCTTCGGTATCCACCCCTTCATACCTTATGATATCATCCCACAATCTACGCAATAAGGAGAATATTCTAGCGATTCCAAGAACCCACACAAACTTACGTCAGAATTTTTTCCTTATTCGCTACTCAACCATGTGGAACAGACTGCCAGTGAACCTCCGTTGCAGTGAAACTACAACCCGGTTCAAAAGTCTCCTTGACGATTTTCTTTCCGAAAGTGGATTATGTCACCTATTGAATATCAATGTATTCAATAATGATTTATACAAACAAGGTCCGTCATCCATTTAATTGCTTGAAAAGCAAAATAAAACCTTTAAATCTTTCCACATCTATTTTATTTTATTTCTATTTATCTTAATATATGAAATCTGATTATGTTCGTGTTTATCATTATTTCCGTTATTAATATCATTATTAGTTCCCTGACACATTAGATATTCTTTTTGTATCTTCTTATCCTTCTAAACATATTTAACTCCAGATTGTCCTTTAAAATCAATTTTGACTTTCATAGCATCAATCTTAATTATTATTGCACAAATATTTATACTAATATCCGGTTTCACTCTGTATACTATTACATAAATCTAAATGTATTCATCCGAGTGCTTTAACGGATTTTTATTTTATTTTTGCAATTGCTGGTTTCCTTCTGAGGTTGATATTTATTACACAATTATTATTCTTATCATGGATCAAAACTTTTCACTAGGTGTTCACTTCTTTTCACTCCATTCTTTCCCTCTAAATAAATATTCTTAAGATTACGAAGTTTGTAATTAAAACAATAACTTGTGTTACACTTAAATTAAATTCTCAGACCCGTTTTATCTTCACTATGCATATATGACTCATACATATTGATATTTTATTATCCTTTTCACTTAATTGAGACTTTCATAGCATCACTCCAAACTATGTACTGCACAAACATTTATTCTAGCGTCATATCTTACTGCAATTATAAGTTATTTTTTCTTAATTATTTTTTCTTACTAATTTGACGATACACACATAGTCGTTTGTTCTTGTTTTATGTTCATAAACACGCCTATTAAACTGTTTGTGTACTTCACGTCTCCTTTATTTCTATTCCCTTATTTTCTGCATTTCCTTCTTTAGACTCAATTCAATATTCTTCTCAATTGCACAGACCCGATTTATTATTATTAATATTCTACTATTATTGCTCAAAATTTTTTTTAAATGGCCAGTAGAATGCTGACATTATTGAAAATTGTGTATTATTGCATTTTTTTGAAGAAACCCGAAATGGTTTCTTCACAACACTTATGTACCCATAAGATGTTTGTGAATAATAATAATAATAAATAATGGATAAATCGGCCTCCCATCTGTAAAGCCTATTCCGTCATGCAGCCTCTTTACAACAAGCTGAAATCGGAGTTTACCAATTGTTAGTTCTTAATAGCCCAATCGACAATGGGGTCGATGTCGTTACGGTTCTGGCAGAACAGTATTTTCAAACACTATAACTCTCAATTACAAACTATATCAACGAGGGTTTCACCAGCAATTCAAGTGGATTCTCAGGAGTGAACCTGAGTGCTGACTTGGTGTAGCAGAACTTGCAGCACATAAGCAAGAACACTTCTTCTGGCCTGGATATGATTCAGTCCGCTAAACTACAGAAAGTGGCTTCAGTTTTGACGAAAACGCCTGATGTGTTGTTCACATACCTGCTAAGCCGAGGCACGATACCAGGAAGTTGGAAGCTGACTCACATTACTCAAATTTTCAGAGGAGGTCGAGGCAGCGAACCTTCAAGCTAACGGTCGGTAACACTTCCCTCAATATCCTCAAGAACTGTGAAGTCACTGACATAAAGCGGTCTACGTGGCTATTTACTATCCACAGACGTATTTCCACTCCAACAGCATGGTTTCAGATACGGTTACTGTTGTATATCAGCCTGCTGGCCGCGGTGGACATGTGGACAACCATCCATGATCTCAATGGGAAGGTTGGCGTCATATACGTTGACTGCTCAAAATTTATTGATATGACCGATCACATATGTCTGATCAATAAGATTGAATGATTAGGTACCAAATCCCCTTTAATTGTCTGGCTAACTTCATATTTACAAAATCGACATTTGAAGGTCAGAGCTGACTTCGCTTGCTCTTAGGCTATGCATTTTTATGTTGTGGTCCCTCAGGGTTCAGCACTAGGACCTCTTCTCTCCTCGATTTATACAAACAATCTTCCGCATAAGATATCGTCAGATTTGTTTCTTTTCTCTGATGTTATGAAAGTTAGGAGAGGATTTCTCAATTATGAGAATGGACTAGCACTTCCGGAGTATCTAACTCGACTTCAAGGTTGGGCAGACGACAACAGGCTTAACTTTAACACTTCATAGTGCAAAGTAGTTCATCTGAGACATGTTGCAGACTACAAATACAACCTAGACAACTCCCCTCTAGAAATATCTGAAGTTGAGAAAGATCTAGGAGTGTTGGTACCCTACTATCTGAAGTCTTACGCTGACTGTGTCAAAAATGCCTTCCAGGAAACCTTGCTTTTGTAGAGTTGGATAGCATTTTCATCCAGTTTGGAGGAAAGATTTTCCACCTAACCTTTAATAGTTTTATTCGCCACCATTTAGAGTATGGGAACTGGAGATGCAAAATTGTAGAATGGACTGAGTGCACACCTTGGATTCCTTAAGTGTAATCAGATGCTGAAATTTGCTGCAGACTGGGCTAGTCCAAGCGATTCCCAAGGAGTTGTTTAAGAAAAATACGTGACATATTATTAAACACCGAGAAAAGTCTCTCGCTATAATTTACTAATTACTTGCAGAAGCATACTAGAAAACGGATAGCAGGCCGTAGTCCTTCTGTCTTTACTACACACATCTGAACCATTAAGTGTATTAAGGTTTCTACTTGTAAGCACTGGTGATCCACTGTTACCAGATACGAAAGCCCGTTAAGCGAAACCTTCCCCTTTTCCGTCCAGAACCATGTGAAACTGTGGTGTTTCAATGAACTAATGATTCCTTTGTACTTGTTGAATGCTTGATTTCGAATTCCCAATACTGTACATTCGTTTGTGCTTATCTAGTACTTCTTGGTCAGATTGCGTTATTTCTGGGATTCTTAGTTCATACTATAATTCAAATACTGCTAATCATCATATTGGCGTCGCGATTGAGCCTGTGATGGAATTATTGGACATACATTCAGATTTTGATGCTTTTGACGATTACTTTGAAAGGTTCAAAATCTGGGCTATGACCAAGGGAGATGATGAGGATGTTAATATCGTAGCACATTTCCTCGCATTTATCGTAAAGGAGCAAATAGCTTATTAAAAACTCCGGCTTTACCAGAAAAGCCCATTTCGCTTCCTTATACAACTCTCAAGGAACTTCTGCCTATGTTAAGTATACAAATTTCGAATGTGGTAAAGGAGGAAGGTTTCGTAAAATGATTCATGAGGATATAAAAAATTCCACTGCATTACGTCATCCCAACCCAGACCATATTCAAGTTTATGCAGATAATTCATCGAGGAGTTGCGATGCAGTCCACGAAGATGGGCACAAGTTTGGTCAATGTTTGTCCTGTGGCAGGTTCCACTCTTTTAATTCATTTAAATGTCGTAATTCTAAGTGCATTAAATGTGGTGACATTGGACATATCCAGTCAGTTTTTAATACAACTATTCATCTTGCTGCGACGAATATTAAGTCTTGTAGTTCTGATTATATTAAGTCCAGTGTTCCCAGTGATCATTTATCCTTATCAAAGACTTCCAAAGACAGTGTAGAGTCATATAGCAGTTCAGAGTTAGGTGAAACTCAGAATCTTTGCGAGATAACAGTTTCTAATCAATCGACTTACCAGATTTCTCATGTTATTGTACCAGATATGGTTTTTCCTAATGATTCACATATTTCTGACGAAACTCCTTGCAAATCTGAGGAAAATATGTTGAATGAACCTAATCATGTTTGAAAACGTGATGTAGTTTTGATAGATGCTGATTTTTCTAATGGTCCTCTATTCTACAATGACATTCTTAATAAATTCGAGGAAACTATTTCAGAAGAGTCAAATCTTGATGTCATACCAAATATTATTCGTTCTCATAATACATTTGTTTCTTGTGAGAATCTTGTTCATTGCAAAGCACAAATACTAAATGAGCTCGATTTTGATTACAATTCGGATGATTTCATATCAACTGCTGTTTATCCTTATCACAAAGTCACTTCTAATGTTTACTCTAGTCAATATGAGAAATATGTTTTAAATGAAGCCACATCATTCATAAATTTGGGATACAAATATCAAACATTATTTCATGGGAAAGGATAGTGTTGGAAAATTTGTGCTTTTGTTGGAGACGATAGATCCCCAAACTCATATTTTTAAATTTTATCGCATCGATCAACTTATTGATTAAATGTTTAAATATTTGTATTGGGGTCAATTGATGAACTGATCGATTAAATGTTTGAATAACAGTCAATAGATGAACTATCGATTCAATGGGCAAATAGGTCAATTTATGAACTCATTGATTAGTGTTTAAAAATTTTCTATGACAATATCGATTATATATATATGTTTTAAATTGTGCTTGCTGCTCACTTGCTTGCTTGCTCGCTCGCTTCTGGCTGTTGCAGGATATATTTTCCATACCAAGCCTGGACTTCTTCTCCTAGATAGCGGGGCTGGGACGCGTCAATAGTTAGATCACTGGTCTTTGGTCAATGAGTATTGTTCTCGTTCGCAGTTTAAGTGAACCCGTGAAGCTTTTTCAAACATAACAATTGGCGACAGGGTGAAGAAAAGATACAATCCAAAGTCATTCTGTAATTGGACGAAATCCAGTCTAATTATTCAACCAATCAGTATCCAGATTGTCATCAGTGTCCTTGAACGACATTGGTCATTATTCATACAGTAATTTTCATCACAGATGCTGATTCGAAAAAATGACTCTCCCTTCCGATCGATTACAGCTGCTCTTTGAACGACACTTGGAGTTATTAGTCAAATTCCGCACGCAGCTGCTAAATCACTCATGCTATGAAGATGCGATGGAAGTGGATGGATTGATATCTCAATTACACAGTGGGCTGGAAAATGACAACAGCCTCCATGAATTCTCGATAACTGTACTTCAAACGAAACAGTCATCCATGATGCGCCCAGTGGTCCAGTACTTTCCATTCCAGAAACATGCCCGGTAATGGTGTCAAACTCCATCATTCCCGAAACAGCATGTACAGATAGTAGCATATCCAGCTCACGAAAAAACCCCATTGTTTTGCCAGGGAATGTGTCTCAGTCATCGAATAATAATCAAGAGCCTGGTACGGTTTTGTTGGACGCGGATTATCAAAATGATCCATTACCTACCAATGATGCTCCCCATAAATTTGATAACAATATCTCAGAAGATTTAAACTCGGATGATTTCGAATTGAATGGTGTTTATCTTCATTATCTGGTCGATTTTACTGAATTTCCCGTCCAATATGTCTTAAATGCAATCAAATTAATTGTAATTTGGGTTTATGAAGACCCAACATTATATCGCGGGGGAGGATAGACGCGAAAAGAAAAAATTTAAACTCCGGTTATCAACTCCGGATCTCCAAAAAAGGGGAGGTGTTGGGATATTCAGGAAAATATCCCAAAAATTATTCTATTAAGTCGAATGCTATTCTTGGACTTGGAGATGGTATTATTCTCTTATTGGTCAGTGCTTATTTCACGTGTCATTTTCCTACTGGTCACTATTGTACAATGTTATTTTCTATTTTATGGTACGATGTGGTCTGCTTGATTAGTATATAAACAGAGTCTGTTTGAAATATAATGATTCATATGTCCGAGGCTGAAACTTGTGTTCTGGACTCAACTGGCTGGGCTAGACAGGGAAGCGGTTTCGGTACACAACCGACACGGTGGTTGTATACAATCCAAGGAACCAGGTGAGTCTGTTCCAATTTCGGTTGTTAATTACAATACTAAGTAATATTAAGAACTGATAGACATAGATGTAGGAAAGGTGGTGGCGTTCTTTTATACATAGCCAATAATATAAGTATCCTCTCCTTTGCTTGAGAATCCTATGCTAGTAAGTTTTGTGAAGTCAGTAGCTGTGAGATATTTATCGGATGTTGCACATTCATACTCGGTGTCATCTATCACAGCACAGTCTGCTTAGCTGATGACTATTTAGATCTCATTCAGCTATGGAGTGTAAATAACAGATGCTTGATATTAGGAGACTTTAATGCACCTGATATTAGTTGGACTGAGATGGCTACGGTTTGATCT